TTGTTGGTCGTTTTATTATTTAAATTATTTCGTTATCTAACTCGATGAGAAAGATAAACGTATTTCATAAATATCGGCAGATCACAGATAAAAAAGGAAATGTTTCTTTTTTTTATTAACAATATTCGATCGAACGATATCGATAAGCCGGCGTACCAATGGTAGAATTACTTAAGCGTGCAATAAAAAAAAAAAATAAGAAAAAAATAAGAGGTTGACAGGCCTTGAAATAATTTATAACTTGCCATTCATTAAACTTTATTGCTATACTATTTTCCCTGACGTTCAATATTCATCCTTTTTTCTATCTTACGCGTGTTACGAAACGCTTTTACAACGATCTCGTTTCCCCTTCTCGATGAATAAGTGACAATTGGAAGAACGTATGGGTTTTTGATGCATAGCATCGAGCATGGATGCTTTCCTAGGGAAGAAGGCGCCCTGGGCTTCCCTAGGGAAGAGGGCACCCTAGACTTCCCTAGAGAAGAATGCACTCGAGTATAAACGTTCATAGGGAAAAAATTGTACTATTGTACTATTTTCAGAATTCTCGTTTCCCCTATAACGCCATCTTTCCTTGGGAAGGCTATCGTGCTCGATGCTGTAAGGGATGGGTTTTTGATGTACAGCATCAAGCATGGAGGCTTCCTTAGGGAAGAGGGCGCCCTAGACTTCCCTAGAGAAGAATACACTCGAGTATAAACGTTCATAGGGAAAAAATTGTACTATTAACATCTTCAGAATTCTCGTTTCCCCTATAACGCCATTTTCCCTTGGGAAGCCTATCGTGCTCGATGCTGTAAGGGATGGGTTTTTGAAGTACAGCATCAAGCATGGAGGTTTCCTTAGGGAAGAGGGCGCCCTAGACTATCCTAGGGAAGAGGGCACCCTAGACTTCCCTAGAGAAGAATGCACTCGAGATAAACGTTCATAGGGAAAAAATTGTACTATTAATGTCTTCAAAATTCTCGTTTCCCCTATAACGCCATTTTCCCTTGGGAAGCCTATCGTGCTCGATGCTGTAAGGGATCAAGTATCCCATCACGTGCCTTATTTATTAGTGATGTTCTTTACGTTGGAGGACAGAAGGTTCTAGGTTAGGTTAGGCTCTCCTAAGACTGAAGACAAATGGTGGGAGGCTACTCCCCCTACCTTCCTCCTCAACCAATAGGAGTCCACGTTGCATCTGAATGTACAGTGGACCAACGAAGTATTGGTACACCGAGTTTCATTTTGATGTCTGAACATCAATAACGAGTAAACTAATTTAAAACAATTAATCTTGAAACAATAACGAAACCCACAGTATTTTGTACGAAATGTTGCATAGACTTATTTAGTTATGATAAATAGCGCGATAGCAAATCAAATTGGTTGGATGAGTACCTAAATTTACAATTTAATCAAATAATGATATTAATAAATATTGAAGGTTCAACGTTATCGGTTATTTCGTAGTAGGCAATAGACATTTTGCAAGTAGTTTATCAGGAATATTCAAATATTATCTCAATGCCCTCGAGTATTTTACATACTTGACCTCCGTTTGGTGACCTGACTCGATGTTTTCACCTCGTGTATATAAAAAAACAAACTATATTTCTATGCGGCACTATCGTGCCTTCGATAAACAATAATATTTAAATTGAATACAATTTAATAGCTAATAAACTTTGCAATTCTACCATCGTATTTTGCGTAACACCAAATCAAATAAATTAACACTGGCTTTAACTTTCTATATTTCGAAATTATGAAAAATCAAGATTCTTACAAATCATTTTTTCCCTGTTTTTTTAATAGTTTTACGTAATTAAATGGGGTCAGACTTTCTGTGTCGCAAAGTCGTCTATTCGATATGCAGCAACTTCTAGTGTTCGTTGCGATCCACGACCAGCCATTTTGTATTGAAATTATTAAGGAAACCTTTATGTAGTTGTTTTCTTCGTGCCTTAACCTACAAATTGATACGTCGCAAGTGGCATTTTGAAATACTTTTCTGTCATGATATTGTAGAATACTTTCGGTCTTTCAAAATCACAACTCTGCGATCTGAAGCTTAATCAGAAATAAAATTTCAATTTGTTCTGGATAAGAAAAGATAAAAAAAATTCTTGAAAATCTGAAACATGCAAACTTCAGATCAAATTGAATGATGCTCGAAGGGGAAAAGATTGGATGTTTCCATTTTGTTGTTTCAAGTGGTAACATATCGTATCGATGATCGTTCGAGAACGGGAACCAGACGTTTAAATATTTATCCATTTTATTTTTGTGTTATTTCGAAGAGTGTTCGCGATAGTCGTTAAGAAATCCTACTAACATCTTCGTAAAAATAGGTGAAGCATCAGTGTTGAAATAACACGTGGTTTCTGTGTAATAGCGAACATAACATTATACCAGAGCTGTTAACACATCGTCTTCACCTTTTACCCGTTCCAAAAATTTTCTCCGGCTTGTTACCGTGTTACTATTATTAGAAATACAAATTATTAATATAAATACTAATATTACTGTTCCTATATTAATAATTTTTAATTTTTGATTGAATTAGGTTTTGGCTGTGGTGGTAGAGTAACAGATTTCAAAACCACAAAGGTCACGAGTTCAAATCCCCTGTAACTAAAGTAATATTATTTTCAATAATTAATATCGTTATTAATAAATTATGTACGATTAAAATAATAGTAATATAATATTAATAATGTTATTAAAAAATACCATTTAAAAATGAATATATATCTAACAATTAAATGCACCCTAATGACCGTTTAAATATAAAAATATAACTTTCAGGAGTTTCGTCTATTCCTAAATATAGTGAAAATATATTTACTTTAAAAATCCTTGATATTCATTCTATACTGATATATGTATTACTTGTTTAAAAAAAATGAGCTGCATGCAGTTAGATGTGGCAGTTTGTGTCGAAGAAACAGCAAGTAATCGTGTTTAAATTCTTTTGCATCTGGAATTAATTTAAATTCAACTTACATTTATTACTTACGACCTTTTTTTTAATGTATGCACGGCGAACGTGTGCATAATTCTTAAGATACATATTGTAGTTACAGGTATTTGAATAAAATATTATGAGTTTGCTGCTAAACTGCATAAATTTCTGGAATTTCTGGAATATGAAGGTTGAAAATCTCTACATTGTTATTTCCACTTTTTAAAAAATTTGAAATCCATTGGGATTCATTGAAAACAAATATTGCTTTGTAAATTCTCAAAAGACTTAAATTTTCTCAATAAGCTTTTCAATTCCTTTATAAACAATGAAAATACATATTTCCATAGGTGCATTCATTGAAACTTAAATGAAATACTTTGCAGAATAATTTTGGATGCGTTAGTAGCAATAGACATAAAACTTTTTTTACATTAAAAATAGAAGAAACGTTATTCATATTTATGTCATATTTACAAGAAGAAACTTGAAAAAATCAAGCTATAATCGATCGAAATGGTCAAAATGTCGTAAATAATGGAGATAAAAGAAAACAAATGAAGAATTTTATGACGCTATCTGTATTTCAAGTGTTTACGTCTCTTTTAAACATTGCTTTACAGATCCTCAGGAGTTTTTTGAAACGTATAATTTATTTCAGGATTTGATTTTCTGAATTCCAGTTACGAAATTCGGTTATAATTAAGTTACAAAATTAGCTGCAAAAGAAAGATTAAAAATAAATACTGTCCTTTCCTCACAAAAAGTGTCCCCGGACGACACAGTGGCAAGAGGGGTGCTGCGCACACATCGACCAACTGCCTAGTTTTATACGCGCCCAATTAGTAGATGTGACAGTTTCGACCAATCACACGTCACGATTGAAAGTACGTGTGAGGTTAGGTGAGGCGCGACCAATCAGATCGCGTTATTCTAACGAGATTTCTTGTCAGCCGAAGACTACTTTTTTGTTATTAAATAAATACTTGCAAAATAAATAGAATTCGATTATTCTAAATTATATGTTTACTCGGGAATCTAACGAAAGAGACAACAAAGACTATGATACGCGTTAGTATGCGTGATTGATAAAGAGCTCTCTTATCGGTAGGCTTATTACCAGTAGAAGTTTCGTAAAGAAAACATGCTAGAAAAGAGATCGACGTATCACTGTTCTTTATCACTGAAATATCATTATTTGTACGTCTCTGGACGATAAGGAAATGATTCTTGTTCTCGAAACGAGATTTCGGATATCGTCTTCGTTTGCCCTGTTAATGTAATAGTATGTTCATTGCCTTTACTTTTCAACCTAAATTACTATTCAACGATCCCTAACCTTTATCTGAACAATTCGAGACTAAGTGGAGGAAATTTCTTGTTCAAATTTCGATTATCGTTAGATTGAATCAGAATTTTCAATGGAATCGATAAATGTGATTTTTCAATCGAATTTTAACTGTTTCGAAAATTAACGTGGCACGATTGATATTGCTCTGTCTCTGAATATATTCACCTTTCAATATTTCTTTTTAATTTGTAACGTTCTCATAAATCCGTACTCCAAAAATGAATAAAAAAATTATCTAAATGAGATGAAATTCGCGTTAAATCCTGATGACGTCTTATGATGTCAAGTCGAGCGGCCGCGTCCGACTGACGTATTAAGATGCCAAGCCGAGCGGCCGCGTCCGAGTGATGTCTTAAGATGTCAAGTCCAGCGAACGTATCCGAGTGATGTCTTAAGATGTCAAATCGAACGAACGCATCCGAGTGATGTCTTAAGATGTCAAGTCGAACGAACGCATCCGAGTGATGTCTTAAGATGTCAAGTCCAGCGAACGTATCCGAGTGATGTCTTAAGATGTCAAATCGAACGAACGCATCCGAATGATGTCTTAAGATGTCAAGTCGAACGAACGCATCCGAGTGATGTCTTAAGATGTCAAGTCGAGCGAACGCATCCGAGTGATGTTTTAAGACATCAAGCTGTTCAAACAGACTTTGTTTTATCGAACTAATCAAGTAAAATTAATTTTTGTTACAGATGCCGATCTGAGCATGGGCGCGGGCGCAGCTGGGGGCTCGGTCCTCGGTCTGCCCGGATCGGGCGTGGGTGGTGTGCTCTCCCAACATTGCGCCATTTGCGGAGATCGCGCCACTGGAAAACACTACGGCGCCGCTTCCTGTGACGGGTGCAAAGGTTTCTTTCGACGATCGGTCAGAAAGAACCACCTCTACACCTGCAGGTTCGTATCAAAATATAATTCATACGTGTACATTAATTTTTTATAATATCATTATGAATTGGACGTATTTTGTTAAGATAGAGGTTTTACACTTAGCATAGATTTAATAATTATAGAATAATGATGAATACAAAAACTGAACATAAAGAAGCATATTGAATAAAACTCATAGAAAATAAAACATAACCTATAACGAGAACGTAACTTCAACGCATAACCCTTTTTTACTAAAGAACACAATCATTCGCGCATGCGCATTCACCAACCGAATCATAACGGTCTTTCACATTATGTCCAATATATCGGAGGCGCGCAATTTAAATCTGAACAAGGACAACAGGCGCGCAATTTGAATTCAGTAGAACGTAGATCGACTCCCCGCTATAAAATTTACCCCGTTATACCAGTTAAAAATTTCTGAATATTCTTCTAATAAAAATTATCCGTTTGTTTGGCAGATTTAGTAGAAATTGTGTAGTAGACAAGGATAAAAGGAATCAGTGCAGGTACTGCAGACTAAGAAAATGTTTCAAAGCTGGCATGAAGAAGGAAGGTGAGTAAAGAGAAGAATAACTCTGTCGCATTTATTTTTCTTTCGTTTATATTGTTTCTCAAGCGATTAATCAGTGATTCAATGCAAACATAACAGCAACAAAGCAATGAACTGCATGAAAAAGAAAAAAAAAAAGAAAGAAAAATGAATCAACTGCAAATAAGTCATCGTCGCAACGAAAACACTGCGTGTAGAATAATCTTTTCTTTTCCTCTGCTTCCGATCTTTCGCGTAGCTGTACAAAACGAAAGGGACCGGATAAGCTGTAGAAGGCCGAGTTACGAAGAACAGACCAGCAACGGAAGTGGACTTTCGGTAGTTTCCCTGCTTCAAGCTGAAATGCTCAGCAGACAAGTAGGCGCTGCTCTTGAGGTCAGTTTACATGAACATTATTATCAATTTTTATTAATATACGACCGATCGGAATACAATGAAACCGATAATAGTAGTATCGCTACAACATTGTCAATAATGATTCATTTAATAACGAATCATTTCTCCCTTGAATAAAATAAAGGCGCACCGTATTTAACCAGCGCGGTCATGTAAATTCAAGGTTTTGTTGCTTTGTTTATTCGGTTAATGAAACGAATTTAATGACAGCCTTAATAATTATGAGAAGAAAGAGAATTAATGAGGACCCTGAGAATAATACCGAGACTCTTAATGTAAATGCCATGCCGGACAGACATCCGGTCATTTTCTTGGGGGAACGAATTGTAATCTTCTACCTCAAATCAAGTGAAAAATATTTAAATTTCATCGAAATACCATAGAATTATTTATACGATGATTCTATAAAAATTGAAAATCAATGAAAAGATATTCGAGTCTGATTTGTAATTAATTGTTTAATTATTTTTCATTGAATTCTGCAAGTAGAGAATCGCGTAACTGACAGTATAGCAAGTAGGTATATCAACAGGTGACACTCCCGGCGCCATCTTTGAAGTCATCGATTCGTTGTCCTTTTAAATGGGTTGTATCCACGAGCGGGAAATTTGAATGAATTGAATGTAATACTTTCATTTTCTGTATATTATTAATCGAAGTATTTACATTAATTTTACATAATTGAAGAGTGGAAAAATAGGAAATATAATAAAATGATGGTATTAGAATATATATTTAAACATAAATTACATAATTGTATGTACAATAAGATGAGAGAAGGTTTTGGAAGGACATTACAATATTTAAAAATTTAATACAATGTTAAGTTTCCTATCTTTTTTTACACACATTTAAAATATTTTATTATTGTATTTCAATGTATAATAAATTCTTAATCGAATAAATAATTTTAATAAATATTGCAAAGGGAAATTTTTACAAGGATGAGTGAAACCGTTATCGAATGGGTTGGATCACTTTGCCAGAGTGTCGCCTCTTGTTATACCTACTCCTTGCTTTAAGGTTATATGGAAGCTAATTCCAGTTTATGTTTCAACAGCTAGGCAGTCCGGGTAACGATATCGACCTAAGCACCAAGCAAATAGCCAACATAAACGATGTCTGTGACAGCATGAAACAACAGCTCCTGATCTTGGTGGAATGGGCTAAATACATCCCTGCTTTCAGCGAGTTAACGCTTGACGATCAGGTTGCCCTTCTAAGGGCACACGCTGGCGAACACCTTCTCCTTGGTGTAGCCAGGCGCAGCATGCAACTGAAGGATGTCCTTCTTCTGGGCAACAACTGTATCATCACTAAAAATTGTCCTGGTACGTCATTCCGTACTTCTATTTATATTTAGGTGCTGGTTTATTGTTTGTTTGTCCTAATTAATCCCTTGACAAGATAGATATTCATATGAATAATCACTATTTTGTGGTAAATACTGTTCACCAATCGCATGAAATCCCGTGAGAATAACGCAATCTGATTGGTCACATTCCACCTCACCTGATTGGTCGAAGCAGTCGCGTCTACTATTTAGATTCGTCTTGCCTCTGTGTCGTCCTGCGAGACTTCTTGTCAGTCGGTGGACAATATAAGAAAATCGTTGTCAAGGAATTAAGAGGAATAGGTTGTACGATAATCTTAATTAAATAATCAGGTTTGTTGAAAATTTATAGGAACTAACTCAACATTATTAACAATGAGACTAACACAAACGTTCATCTAACACTTGTTTTAATAATCGAATATGAATTAAAAGAGATAATTAATTAAGATTTTAGTAACAACAGCCACATGGTAATAATTATAACAGCATCAGAAATATTAATTAAAAGAATAATAATAATAGCAATAAATTCGTTATTTTTTTACTTTTCAAATATTTATTTTTATTTTTCGAAAATATTCCATATAATAATTGTCTATAAAATCTTACATCACAGTGAATAGAATTCAAGAATACAGTGGTTCATTTATCACGATTACCTTGAACGTTCTGTCGTATTCAATGACACGATAAATTGTTTTCAAACCTAAGAAGAGATTAATTAGATGAGCTAATTGTAAAGAAGAATCGAAGGACAATTTATTGTTTAGTCTACATATTTATTATTCGTGAATAACATAATTTTTATCTAAAGTCTTTTTAGATAAAACTTTTATCTAAAGTATTTTTATTTAAATCAACTTCAGAAAATATTTTCCTTAGTTTTCAGAAATTTTTCAATCGACTAACTGCCGTTTGAAAATTATAAATTATTTTCAAAACCCGTTTGGCAAACGCAAAAAAAAAAAAAAAAATAAAACCATTTTTTTATTCGCCAGCAACCTTATCGACAAATGATTATCACGTCAAAATATTTTTGATAGATAACTGATAGGGTTTTACGTAGAATGAGCAGCTGAAAGTATTATTATCCCGTCGTAATAAAGATTACATCGTATTACTTCATCTCTCGATGTCATCGACAGATAAGATTGCAACGAAAATCAAAAACCGTATTTAGAACTCGTTCTTTTTAAGTGCAAATTCTTTTTTTTTTAAATTATGAATTTGCACAAACAGGCCTGGCATAATTACTAAGGAAACTTGGGTGAGTAAATAACATCGTGCATGCAAAAAGTGTTAACTAATTTGAAAAATTGACTAATATTTTTCTTTCCTTATTGGTCCACATAAGTCGCTGTTCCGTATCAAATCCATCAGTAGTTCACGAATATTCGATTTGATTAACGTAACGAGACTTCGGTTTGCAGCGGGTGTTATAAAATTACGTTTGGAGGTTAAGTACCGTGCGTCGCCGACTCTCCGGACGCCGCTATAACCAGAGTTTACTATATTAATTATCTAAGGATTCGCTAAGTAGCCCTTAAATTATGAACGAGTAAATTATTTGAAAAGAGCACGCGAACAAACCGCTGGTCTCGTTAAATGTTGATTGCACGAACGCATATTGGGGAGTAGCTAGTAGACTGAGTCCGGCCTTCACGTCGCAAATCGCAGCAGCATGACTGCAGATGGGTTCTATTCGACTTGGTTGGTGGTCCTCCATGCTTTTAATACCTCACACTTTTTCCGGGCTCAGTCGATTGGTAATAGAACCCGATAGGAACAGTTTAACCGTGGTTATCAGTCATATCTTTGTCCACAGAGGGTCGCAACCAGGATCTGGACATTAGCAAGGTCGGCATTAGGGTGATGGACGAGCTGGTGAAGCCTTTGAACGAAGTGCAGATCGACGACACGGAGTTCGCTTGTTTGAAGGCCATTGTCTTTTTTGACCCCAGTAAGTTACTCAGAAATGGATTCAACGAACACCGCTACGAATTACCTAGCACTGTTTCGAGTTGATCCAAAAGTCTCTACCCCCCTTAAGGGGTTAGGGTACTCTAGAATTTTGAAAAAATCGAAATTTCTTTTTTTGCTTAAAAGGTGCCTTAATGTCTTAAAAATGATATGGCAAAAGATTATAGGTGGGAAAACCCCCCCCCCCGGGGTCTGCTGCGCCTATCACTGAAAACTTTTTCAAATACGCCATTTTTACAAAAATTAATATATCAAAAAAATCCTTTGGTTTTTTTAAAAAAATATTTTGGTTTTTTATCTTAAGTTAAAAATTGCAAAAGCTGCTGGTTTTGCCCTACAAAAAAGAGGCGTCATAGAAGAAATGCTGCAGAGCCCATATTTTGACTTGAATCATTATAAAAAAATTAATTTTTAAAGTTTATTAATTGTAAAATAAAGACATGCTTACAGAATTTATTCCATCATTTAAAAAAAAAAATTCCCAAAATATGCCTATTTTTTTCTTGCTCTAGAGTGGCCTAACCTCTTAAGATATCTCTTTTCATGATCTCCGAGTTGAAGACGAGGTGGAATTTGCGTGTCATTCAGCCAAGATTTGCCGGCACGCGAGAACGATTGTCTCAATGAGATTTAATTGATCATCGGCGCGGTCATCGCCGTCATGTTGAAACAAATTGCAAACAATCGCAGGCATGCTCTGCTTTTTCATCTTATCTCTTCGCTTACATGCTTCTCTTAATATGTATATTTTCTGCATTAGGCTACATCTTTAACCCTTCGCCTACATCGTCAGTCTCTAAAGCTAGTTGCAATGTATAATTATTTGTATTATATTTTGTTAACAGATGCAAAGGGCCTGAGCGAACCGCAGCGAATCAAACAATTACGTTATCAAATTCAAATTAATTTGGAAGATTATATTAGCGATCGACAGTATGATAGTCGTGGTCGATTCGGCGAGATACTTTTGACTTTACCAGCTCTCCAATCAATCTCCTGGCAAATGATAGAACAGATTCAATTTGTAAGGCTGTTTGGAGTTGCACATATAGACAACTTGCTGCAAGAGATGTTGTTAGGTGGCGCCACCGCAGAGATAAATGGTGCTGCAACACCAATACCGATCTCAAATGCACCTGGTAGTTACGTGAGCAGCAATGAAAGCCCTAGCAGTCCCTTAACGCCGGCTAACGCGCCCCCGTTGAGTCCTCAAGATCACATGCTGGCTGGTGGGAGTCCTGTTATGATCCTGAGGGACCTTACGCCTATACAGAGTCAAGAGGACGTGACTAGTGCAACTGGATTTAGAATGTTCAAGCAAGAACCCAGTCTCGAAAGTGAATCAACCTTTTAAAGGTCTTTGGATGTATCTTAAAAATAATTGAAAGATCCTGCGGAATGAATTATAAATCTGGAGATACTGGATCGTATTGAAAATGGATAAGGAACTACAAAAATGTAAGATAAGTTAGCTATGAGAAACTAGTAGAAGACTTTCACTTATGTGCCACAAAAGAATCAGGATCTTTCTTAGATAAGATAATTTTTAAATGTTAAAATAAGATGTTTCAATGGTACGTTGGAGAGAAGTTTTCAAGTTTCAGAAGAGTGGGAAGACTTTGAATGATTATCAGAAACGGTGAGAAAGATTGGATCATTTTGAAAGGTGAAAATGCAGAATCTTATACAGTTTTAAAAATACTTGATGATGCAGTGGCAGAACAATGTCATGAACTGCGTGTAATCATATAAGATCTTATAAGATCCCAAAGTAAGAACGAGTTCTTTTAATATTTTACATATTTTTGACAAGAAACTGACTTTAGCGATCTCTGATGATATTCTGAGCAGTTTTTAAACATTAGCGACATCTTTCATTAAAATATTTATAAATACAATCTTTTTTTTTTTTTACTTGTACTCTAAATTTACAAGCATATTCAAAGCATATCTTTCAATTAATTTGGTGTATTAACTAAATTCATGAAAAATAATGTGAAATTTCGTTCATTTTTGGATAAAAATCATGCTCAATCGATTGCTCAATTAATTCTTAATTACCTTAACCATAAGGTCAAATCAAAATCGGTCGATTAAGTGACAAAGAATTACTTTGTCACTAAAAAGGTCAACTTAACTAATATTAATGCACTACTTTACTGCATAATACATATTCAGTAACCAATACTTTGACAATATGTTTGATTAAAATCAGAGGAACTCATCACTTTCATATAAACTATATGTTATATTATAGTATATTTAATAAGCATACAACGTTTCCTATTTTAATTTCTATTTTCATCAAGAACACATTTTTAATTCGATCTAGTTTCATACGATCGCAATAAAATCTAAACGACCGACCTCTGAACATAATAATAATAATTAATTTTAATTGTTACATTTCTAGAATGTAAGTACATTGTTATTTATACAAAGGGTTTATTAATTATATTATTTATAATATATTTCTACAGAGAATATTTTTGTTAATGCAATAAATATTTTGTTATCCCTATTATACTGAATATGCATTGTATCATACGTACACAACAATTGTAATAATTGAATAGTCTTTTTATCTACTCGTATAAATGAAAGATACTTCAGATATTCCGAATAACATCAGGCAATGTGCAATATTAAATGCTTTTCAATCATTTCAGCAAATATTCATTCGGATAAGCAACATTTTAATTGAACACTGTACATAGTATTTTTAAACATAAGTTATATTTAATATATGTTGATTTTTTACAAACAGTTTATTTAATATCCTCCGCAGTACAAAAAGAACACATTAACATTTAGTTTGCAACAATAGTTAATATACTTGACTTTTAAAGTACTATAGTTACTGGTTTAAAAGAACTAGTCTACAGATTTTCTGCAATAAGTCAATTGCAAAATTCTATCTTATTTCTTTTTTTTCATCCACACGTATAATAGCAAATACATACATAGGAATATTTATTGAAATGAAAAGAATAGAAATTTCAACATGCCCCATCAAAAAACATCATTTTTCAGAATCTTTTTTTACTAATCTAATTTAGCCAGTGAAAGGAATCTTAGAAAATTTCATGTTATTTGCTAGGAACATTTTACACCCTGTATAAAATAGACAACATTCCATGTAAAAAATCAAAAATGTTTAGAGAATAATTAACGCCTCTCTCTATAAAGAGAGGAGCACACGCCATTGCAATGCAATTTTTTTTTTAAGGAAAGGAGTATGCATATTTTTGTTAATTTTTTTTACACATTTGGAGTACGATTTGTTTCTTATTTTCACTATATGAAATAATTTTCATTCATACATTACTTTAAAAGCAAATCGCTAGTTCCAAATGTTTATCGCGGCTTCTACTAGATATTACATTTATGAACAGATTAGAAAATGATAGGATAATATTTTAAGATATACATAAATTTATATACTATTAATAATATGAAATGTAGTATATAAATATATAAATAACATTTTATCTGGCACATGTGTATACATGTACACAAAATGTAAATTAGTGGAAGTGATAATATTATTTTTAACAAACAAAGAAACTAGTTAAATAAAAGGGGAACCTGTAACAAGTTTCTGCATAATTTTCTTTTTTTATATTTATTTTGTATTATAATATACTTTTGTTAAATACACTATAATACATTTTCATCTTGACTTATACTTGAAGTAATTTAAAATACAACCAATATATAAAACATTTTAATGATAGAAGAAAATAAATAAATTGTCAGGAACTATATTTTTTTTCACATACAATTCAACTATAGAAATTTTCACTGCGAGTCTCGTGATTTTTATAAAACTTACGATTAGATTATTTCAAATTTTTAATGAAATATTTTAATGTAGATGTAAGAATCATGATAAAACACTTATGGATTGTAATGAAATTGGAAAACATTAATTAAAACTTATATAACTAATTCCTTTATTTCTTCTATATTTATTCTGTACAGTAAGTTTAATATTTGAGAGATGATTATTTTTATATGGGTTGTGAGCTAAAAGTTACCAAGATAAACAGTTCATAAATAAGTCAATTCGTAGGTAAGCTTTTACAAAAAATCATTCAGAGCATATAAACATTATTTGAATTGTAAATAACTTTTTTCTTAATCAATTGTTATTTAGTTGTAAGAAAATTTGTATTATACATATAATAAAGGGAGTAAACATCTAATTAATATTTTTAATCAAAGAATAAAAAACATTTCACTTCCTGTATAGGATTGGTCTATCAAATTATACTGTGATCATATTAAATAATTTATGTGATGGTCAAGTCTTGTAATATATATTGTAAAATGAAAACGTTAGTCTAGTTCATAATTTGTACGTTTTCTTTTCTTTAAATTTGCAGTGACTTCAGAAGGAAGTATGCTATTAGTACCCTTTTGTAGCCACTCTGAAAGCCTAACTTTAGCTTTTCTTCCACTAAGAAATAGTTCTCTTTCAAGCCTAGGAAGCTGCTTCCCTAATGTAGGATCAGATATCGGATTTTGTGCCCAATCCATAACTAAACGTAAACGAGATTTAAATGTCTGAAAAACACATAACAAAATTTCTAAAATCCTTAGATAAATGTATCCAATTTTGAAGAAGTCAGGATGTTGTATTAAAATTGTTGCAAACTGTCTAATTTAAAATATAGGAACAAGAATAGGATCTAGAATTTCATGAGCTACTTTTACCTGCAATAAACTATCCGTTATTTGTTCAGAAGATCTGTCATTAAGTTTCCGTACATGCATTCCTAATTCATAAAAGAATGGGTTCCATTTGCTTAAGACAACAGCATCAGCATCTGCTTTTAAAATTTCTCTAACAAAATATAAATAAATATTCAAAAATAAGAATGTTTACATTCGAAACAAAGAGAAATTAACAACAATTTGATAAATATGATAAAAATAAAAAAAAAAGATCAAACCTATATCCTTCCTTGTATATTTTTGGTATATCAACGCTAACTATAGGATTTCGTAGGTTTTTCAACGACAATGCTAACCATAATGGAAATTCTACTTTTGATCCTATTTTTAAATTTGCAGTTTGGGACGAGCAATCCAAAAAACCTTGAAAATGTAGATCGTATGTATACACATATTAACTGTACAAATACGTGGTACAATTTGTAGTCATTAATAATATGTATATGTATAGTTAATAAAAAGATACTGAAAATGTTTAAAATTATTGAAATAAATTAAATATTACCTAATCTAGGTAACTCGACTTCAGTCGTACACGTTAATCGTTCTTCGGTACACAAAATATCATTTATAGCAAAGTAATTTGGCAAATAACTTTGACTCAATGCCATTTTATAAAAATAAGAAAATTTCAATCAACCGATAAAATTTCGACTTCCTTAAAATTCCTTAAAATGCCGCTAGATAGCGCTAAACAATTCGCCAAACTTTTATGAAACCAGCTATTTATCGATCTAACAAAGAAAATCTTCCTGCCATTTTCTTTGATATGGAATGTGGAAGAATTCAAATTTTTCGTGCAACGATTCCTAACGTTTAATTGAAAAGAAAACGATGCAACGAGCTAAAAGAAAAAAGGTAAAAGGCAAAGGTAAAGGTAAAGGTAAAAAAACAAAGAAAGTGAAAAAGAGATGTTTGAACGAAAGGGAAACTTTATCGTACGAGCAAGAAATATTAGAAAACAACAGACAATTGGCACGGTGAATATACTATGTGTTACTCTCCTACGAACAGGGTCGGCCCTGGGCCTAGGCAGACTAGGCGGCCGCCTAGGGCCCCCCAAAGTCCAGGGCCCCCATAAGACGATTTTGTGTCTAAAAATACAAGAAGATTCAATATTAATCGATGTAAATGCAAATCTAAATTAGTTATACAAGCTTTAATGTTAATTTTATAAATTTTATTTGAGCTACTTTTTTTTATGTCATATATGTGAAGGGGCCCTTTTTCGGAGCTCGCCTCGGGCCCCCGAAATCTCAAGGCCGGTCCTGCGTACGAGGAAGAAATGAAATATTAATCAATCTCAATTGAATTGAAGTAAATTTTATGAATTTTGAAGTACACGCTGTGTTAATTAACATTTTTCCTTAGATTAAGAAGTCGAAACGAAGAACTGGAAGAGGAAGCGGAAGTTGCTGAAGGGAAACTCCGCCAACTTGAGGAGGACCGTTCGGATGTGATCGCACATCTGAAGAGAAACTTGGAAGAGAAAATCCAAGAAGCGAAAGAACTTAACGAACGACTCACAGCGTTGGAGGAATTACGGAAGGATGAATTGGCTGCGTACAAGAAAAAAGAAGAAGCAATGGAACTTGAATATCGCAACATGGAGAACATGCTTAGCGCAGAAGTTAAATTGGCTGGTAAAGTATATGCTACTAATACAGGGTGTCCCAGAACTGGGGTAGGACCCGCGCTAAAGGCGCGCTCTGATTGGCCAGTGTTTTTCGTTAATAATTCAAAAACGAAGCCTTAACCAACAGTTTGGCAAAGGAAAAAGTTGTTTAGAATGACCTCAGCAATCATCCCTCCACAGGTCCTACCCCAGTTCTGGGGCACCCTATATTTACCGAAATACATGCTAAAGTATATTTACTACCCCATTAGCTGGTAAATTAAACGCCCTGGAAGATTGGCGACTGGCGCGTCTTGATTTAATGGTAAAATATGAAAAGCAAGAGGAAGAAATGGCCGAGCAAGAGGAGCGCCACAAGGAAGCGCTTTATGAAGCTGAAAAATCCGTAGTAATCGGGAAAGCGACGTACGTTATGTCCCATTAGAAATTTGTTGCAAAAAGTTTCTTCAATTTTAAGATCACTTTAAGTCATATTTATTGATAGGATGCAGAAGGAAATGAATAAACGTTTGCAAATTCTATCCGAAGAGCTTCGAAAATCGACGACTCTGCGTATGGCGGAAATTATGCACCGTGCAATTAGAGAAAATGTCGCGTTAAATAGAGAGCTTGATAACATGTTGAAGATCAATAAGGAGCTAGAAAGTGTTAGCACCGAACGCAGGAAAACGGAAGAAACGTTGAGACTGAAGAGTCAGTTATTTGAAGCTGAGTCAAAGATTACATTGAAAAAAGTGTTGAAACAAAGAGATGTTATTCACAAAATAGCAAACGTAAGACCAATAGTCGTGTTTATGATTTTTAGCAACATTTCTTTTTCCTACTCTGACACTTAATGAAATAGAAATACAATAATGTTGTAGGATTTTCAAGATCTGTTGATACGTTATACAGAAGCAGAGAAATACAATACTCGATTTGCGGGTTTACAAAAGATTCTAGATGATATTATTGAAGGAACTAACGAGAAGAAAGATAAACAAATTCAAGCTCTCAAAAAAGACATTGCAATGGCTATGAATTACAGGCAGCATTTGTTAGCAGAGATTCAGGAAAAGGAGAAACAAGTGGAATCACTGAAGGGTATTCTAAACCGTGTGAAAAGCCTGCTTGATGAGGCTTTACAAGTAAACATAAATGAGTCGATCAATTATCATCAGTTACTAGATATGAGATTATTTAAAAGAATTTATCAATTTTTACTGATAAAATGATATCTTTGCAGGTTACAGAAGATGCTATTAATAAACAGCAATGCATTGATTGTATAGGTGAAAAATTGTTGCATTCTCTGTACGACATATTACAAACTGAAAATCTTATTAATGTGATAGAGTATACTCCATCAGAGGTATGTATTTTCTGAATGAATTTCATTGATGCATACCAAAAGCAGAGAATATTTGAAAACCATTAATTGATAACAGATTTCAAGGATGATTTCATTTAATTTTATAGATTGAAAACATTGATTGTCAATACAGAACAGGCTATTTAGGCTTTGTTGAGCCTTTGAAACCCTGTAAAGACTGTGGAAAACAAGAAACGGAATCAGAAGTTGAAGATTCAGAAGAAAAAATATCATTGGAAGATTTGGAACAAAACGTACCGTCTTGTCTATTAAGTGTTATTAGTTCTAGTATTACATCTCACAAAGAAGAATAAATTATTGGTTTTGAATAATGTAATAAAGTGGATGATTTAGAAATTGTACTATTAGCGGTTTAAGCCAGCGGAGGGGAAGATATCTCCGCGGCTGCACTTCGTTTTAAGGGACCAAAAATTTTTGGTTAAAAAATATCAAATCTTATAGTTTTCGACCTGAAACATTCGAAAATGCAAGTTAAAAGTTTAGGAAACCACTTGTTTAAAAAATACGATTATGTGTAAAAAGTGTATTTAGCGTATTTTGATAGGTTAGTACGACGCCATATTGCTTGCACCCATCTTCTGATTGGTTCGCACATAAATTCGAAATCTGTTCATACAGACTTATACCGACCGCTGTAAGGCGGCCGGTCACATTAATGTGATATTAAATAAATGTTTTATACATACTTTAATTATAGCTGAAACCCACACGCAAAAAATCGAAGCTAACTGACGACCGGCAAAAGGAGTCGCTTCCACGACAAAGACTTTGCCGATCGCCTATATGAACTTTTGTGGCGTAGATTTTGTAAAATTAACCAAATACATCTTGTGGATTCTTTGATCGCAGCAATCAAGAAACAATGTGTTTTTAAATAAGGTAAGTGGAGGTTACAATCATTTCAGCGAGCCAATCAAAGAATGCGTAGAAACAATATGGCGTCGTACTAACCTGTCAAACACCACTATATATATATAATACGTACATTTCTACACAATTGTATTTTTTGAACCATTGGTTTCCCAAACTTTTCATTTGTGTTTTTTCTCAAATAAATAATTGTCAAACAGTAAACTTTACTGTAATAGGCATTCAGCCATTTTTTATCCTACATAATTACCTTCATTACAACAAAGCGCCACTTGCAGGTACAATAGACACGTGGTTTAATTTTGACACTTGATAAAGGTTATCATTAATAATTGTTTTCTAAAAATAGAAATAAATGAAAAAGGAAAGATAAGAAATATGCCGCATAAAAAAAGCCAAGGAAGGTTGGTAAGATTATTTTAATATGTGATAATTAATTTATTATCATCTATTCAAATTTTCAAAAATAATTTGTTATGTTATGATAATATTGATTCAGGGGTAAAAAGATTAAAGAAAAGGAGAAAGAGAAAAAAGAAATTAAAAATGATGATCAATATTTTGAAGATATTATAGATATTGATGAAAATGTTACAAAAGATTTTAACTTTCTGGTAAATGCTCCAGTTTCTGAAGATGACCATTTTGTTTTTGAGTCAGAAAAAAGCTGGGATGTTGATATTTCTAAATATTCTGAATATTTTACACTTGACTTAAATACATTAGCTGCGGCAATAGAGTCAATACCATTTAATGAAAATGTTGATATCGACACAAAGTATTTCACTGTAAGCTAAATATGCACCTTTATAATTTTATTTAAAGCTTTATGATAAAATTGTTCAGTTGAATCATAATATTATTAATTATTTTAGAATGATCAGTTAACAAATATTTATAATAATGCAGAACTGGGTAAAAGAAGGTATAATAAAATCTTAAGCAATTTAGAAACACCCATTACAAATAACCCAAAAAATGAAGAAAGTCAGGATTCAGTAGAAGACTCAGCTGAGGAATTAGATTTTTTATTATCTCTTCAAGAACCTGTAAATGAACCTTCAAATATTTTGAAATCCTTGCCTGGAGCTTACAATACTGGTATAAATAGCTAAAATTTTATAATACGATCTTTATTTAAACATTAGTTTAGGAAATGTCTTCTTACAGATTCAAAGTTAGTATCTAAACCTGGTACATCCACTAAACCTATGGATTTAGAAAAATGGTTGGATTCTGTGTTAGATGATTAAGTTTAATAAATTTCAACTTTTGCCATTTTTGGTAATAAGGTAAATAAAAATTGTCTTAATTCTAATTGATAAAATTATTTTCATGATGAACAAATTCTATGGAAGTTATTATCACATACATTTATTACAACTACTTATCACAAAAATAAAAAAGATTAATTAAACACACTAATAAATATTGTAAACACAATTGTAGTAAATAATGAGATAAGTTTGTAACAAGTTGAGTTGTAGGAACAAATATTAAGGAATACTTCTGCTAAATAACTTTTTTCATAATGTTGATAAAAAAAAAATGCATGATTCAGTCTATATTGTAGACTACAATTTTAACTAATCACCAAATTTTGCAGTGAAGTATACTTTTATTTTTTCATAAACTATAAGCATAATGGCACCACCTGGTCCTAATCGTAAAACTTTTGGTAATAACCCTTTATATAAAGCTCTAAATCTGAAACATAAGTAATTAAAAATATTAATAGTAATTTGATTATTTAAAAGTTTGCAAATATTGTTTCTTACCCTTCTCTATGATAAACTAAGTAAATGGTTTGTAGGGTACCCTTGTATAATGTATCACCTTGAGGACCTTGAATGCGACTTTTAGCAACATCAAAAGGTATATTCATGCAAGATGCCACTGTTCCTGATATAAAACCTATGGTAAACTAACAAATTTATGTGGATTAGACAGAGTATCTACATTTGCAACATAGGTAACTTTATAATTGTTAAATACTAAAGATATAATAACAGAATATACCTTAGTGAAGAATTCTGAAACATACTCTGTGTGTTTCTGTAATTTAGGAACAATAGAATGGTAAATGCCAAAGTAAAAAGCATTAAAAACAGAATTTCTCATTACTGTGGCAGATAATCCTTTATTAAGACCATTCAATCCAAAACCTTGTTTAGAAATGATATGTCGAGTCACGGCAAAAGTAGATGGACTTTCATTAATACGTTTACGATTAGATTGCATCTGCACCTTAACTACTTCAAATGGATTTACTAAAATACCCTCAGTTACACCAGTTAAATAGCCTGCACAAAAATGCACCTAAAAATAATTCTATTATTATTAATAACATAAATATATTAAAATGATATAAAATTTCAAAGGCAATATTCCATTTTTCTTTTAAACCTTTAATGTTTAACTAATATTAAATTTCTTTATAAAATTAAAAAAATTTTAAATAATATACATACCATTTGTTCTGATGTATTATTGCTTAAAAGCTTTTTATACTGTTCATAGGAAAAAAACTAAAAAGAAAACAAATATTAAAAAAAGCTAAACAAGAAAAAAAATGAGGCAGAATATATGTAATTAAATTCTGTTAAAATCAAAAGAAGAAAACAATAAAAAATAAAAAATTAGATAACATACTTTTACAGCTCTTTTAGGGGTTTCCATAACAACTGGTGGTATTATACCTTTCCAAAAAGCTGCAAGCCCCTCATTTTTATACATTTTTCTCATACAATCTCCAATCCCTAAGTTTAAACAATTATGTAAACAATAAAAAGCAAGTACTGAAACATCAAAAGACAAGTATATTTAACTATAAGGATACACTGCCTGTATAATAAACAGCATCGTACTGTTTAAGTTTGACCTGCAGTTGGAAACGTGTTTTAATCAAATCCATAGGATGCATTATGGAAGCTTCTACAAAGCCTGCGAAGCCTCCTGCTCCAATCTGAATAGCAGCCTCCTTAAGAAGGCTTGGTTGATGGTGTATGATTTCTTGATGCGCCATATCTCAATTATTTCTTATCAGTAAAAATTCATTAGAATATTTAACTTGTTATCCTTGTTTATTCCTTTTACAGGAAAACAAACTACTGTTCTTCTATTTTCTCTATGTTTTCTAAAATAAATATTTAAGTATTTTTATAACAGATACATCATGTTTATATTAGATAATAAAGAGATATTATTAATTAATATAATCAATTGTTATAATTTTGCAGATGGTATCTATAAAAAATACAGAAGAAAAAACTCTTTATCAAAAATATTCAAAATGAAATTGCATGAAACCTTAGGATGAAATATTAAGTATGACACAGCAATATTTGCTTACTATCTTGTGTGACATTACGTCATCAAAATATTCGCGTTAATTATCATTTCAGTTTACTTTTCAAAGTTACAGTGACTTCGTATTCGTAAGTATACTGTTGTGACGAGATAATCATAAAATATTTAAAAATGTGTAATAATTGTTACTGTAATAACATATATTTTGTTTCAGGAACTTCAAACTTTTACACAGAATTAGTTCAATTTATTTAAATTAGTTTAGCATATACATATTCTTCATAGTACAGAAATTAATTCTAACATGCACAGTTGGGATGAAATAAGTATGTCCATTTATTACATCATTTAGAGGCTTTAAAACACCTAGTAGAATATATTTTATTAATATTGTATATACCATCTTATAAATGTCATATTTTTTTATGTTTAAATCTTAATTATACTGACAGAGGAAACAATAACAATAATGATTAAAATTTAAAGAACGTCCACATAAATAGAAAAGAAGACCTTTCTTTCTTTCCAAATATAAATATGCTTTGTTCTCCTGTTATAGGATTAAATTACTGCGCTTCATTTCTATACGACTAAACAGAAAAGCACAAGAAGATTATCTGAAAACTAATTGTTAATAAACACTGGTATGGTTATTATTTATTAAACATACATACAAACTTCAAATTATGGGTTAATAATATTAATGTTTTTAATACATAGCAGTATACTTAAAACACAGTATCTCATTGAATTGCATCCATTGTGCCAAGTTCGTTCAATTGACTTAATCAACTAAACAGACTTGTATCAGTTGTTGAAGTAAGTGGAGATAACAACGGATTCTTTGTCCACCTTGGTGATACTTTGATTCTTCGAAATGAACCGTACTTAAAACCTTGAGATTAATTATCGCCGCCATTTTGTTATTACATATTCAACTAATCTCTCTGATTTTAAGTCTCATCGGTGGGAATAGTAGTAGGACTTGGGAATAGTAGGTGAAACGTCATGTTCAATAGTAGCCAGTAAGCTGAACCTTTTTTTTCTTTCCATTTCAGTCTTTATAGAGGCAAAGCATCAGTGACATGGAGGTTAGACATAGAAAGGTTTGTTTTTAGTATTTTATTTTTAGTAAAATTTATATAGGGTATTTTAGGAAATTATACGTTAAAATATTATTACTAATTATAAATAAGTAATTAGTATAACCTGCATCTGCAGAAAGAGTAATTTGCACTCAAGAATTGAACTTATTCGTAATGGATTTAACAGAACTTTCAATATTATATGTAGCTCCATAGATATAAACAATCTCTTTAATTCCTTAAATATAAAATATTTCTAATTCTGTGGTAAACTGTAAGGAGAAAAATCGATGAAATTATGTGTTTTAATAATCAACAGTTTAGTTACGTAAGTTTTTATAAGTAAAATGATTCACATATTTAAAAGTTTAAAAACAGATCTTACACATATAGTATAGATCTTTGGCGATTTTTCTTTAAGTTTTACACGAAATAAATGTATTTTGTATAAAATTTATGAATTGTGTAACCAATCTTTTCGAATCGTAATTATATATAAAATATATATTATACTGTATTTTTATTTTATTGGGATACAATAAAATTTCATTTTCAATTAATTTCGTTGCTTAATTTATTAAATTTTTATACATTAACAAAATGTATACGCTTCTATTATATTTAAAATGTTTATTAAAAATAAGTACGATTCTTCTCTAAGTTTATAGCTGATTTTATTTAAATATTACATTAAATTTGTTGCACATATTAATCGAAAAATTGATCGTAAATACAAATGATTAATTTAGTATAATTTTGATTAGTATTGATCCTACCGATTTTTAAAAATTTCGCGGCTCATTTGATGCGTGATGCGTTTATTTTCCTTACTAATTTGTTCACGAAAAAAAAAGCGAAAACTACCTTTGTTACTTGTATTACCACTTACATTGCATTAAATGCAATATATTCCAGTAAGTATAAAATACAATATCTTTGTTATGTCAATCTATCTGCTGTAAATATTATGATAATAAGAATTTTATTATTTTTGAGGTTATATCTCTGTTTATATTTACATATCGTTATTATTCATAGTACATATTTAGATATGCTAGTTTTATTTTTTTTTAAATAGTTTTTTCATTTCAAAGTATTTTGAAATATGAATTAATACAGCTTTTATACTTCTATGGAATTATAGTAAGATATTGTAATATAAATGATGTATTTTTATATTTTTAATATTAAAAAATATAAATATTAGAATTAAGAATCTAATACATAATTGTATTTTCAGTTAAGAACAGAAAATGAAGACATTTTTGAAGCAGAATCGAAACCACGTTTTAAGAAAGGACAACCGGGAAAAAGATATTTTGTGGTTGTGGCTTTGTTGGGAATTCTCTTCCTGGGATATATAGCAATAGCGTATGATCTAAAGTTCTCTATTTAAAACATTTTCATATTCATACAAACCATTTATTACAATAAGTTTCTCTGCTTTTTCAGATACGACTTGAAGCCAGTACGTCTGGGTAGCAAAGCAATTGATACATTGGCTTTCTCTTTCAATCTGCAAAAACCATTTTACGTTGTAGTAATTGACGCGGGCTCGACCGGTAGTCGAGCGTTAGCTTTCAGTTTTCACGAATCAATTCTAGGTGGTAATTTGGTTTTGGACGAGGAGCTGTACACTGAGACAAAACCAGGCCTTAGTGCTTATTCTGAGAGACCTAAAGACGCTGCTAAGTCTCTTATTGTATTACTAGATAAAGTTAGAAGTGTTATTCCTCGTTCGGAATGGCAACACACACCTCTTACTATGAGAGCCACTGCTGGTTTGCGGCTTCTTCCTGGACATAAAGCTCAAGAGATCCTTCAAGAATGTAGGAAAATGTTTGAAGAAAGTGGTTTCCTGGTATGTACGGAGAGCACCTTTTTTTCTGAACAACATTTATCAATTGTTCTATTATTTATTTTAGCTGTCTAAAAATTCAATTTCTATAATGGAAGGAAGGGATGAGGGTATTTTCTCATGGTTCACTGTCAATTTTCTATCAGAAAGGTTTAATACGCACAATCCTGGTAGCACAGTTGCTGCATTGGATCTTGGTGGAGGTTCTACCCAGGTGACTTTTTCACCTAATCCCCAACAGGTATAACAAATAATAAATAACAACAGAAAGAGAACGTTCAGAAACAGAATAAAGGGTATTTTAAATTTATTCAGGAAAAGAAACTTGACGGACACATATACTCTGTTAATATTTTCAATCATAACATGAGTGTTTATACGCACAGTTATTTGGGTATGGGTCTTATGGCTGCCAGAAAAGAGATTCTAACTTATGGAATGAACTTGGACAATGTAAATCCAAAAACTGTAATACAGTCGGAATGTATAAATCCCATAGTTTCTACCGAATGGAGTTACGGTGGAGTTAATTATATTATCAAAGGACCTGTCAATGGGACTCATAAATTGGTGAAAACGCAAAACTTTGCTGGTGGAGAAGAGGATAGGCCAATTGTTAACTTCCCCGAATGTTTGAAGATCATTGAAAAATATGTCGGTAGGATTAAAAATAAACCGGAGGGTTTAAAAGATCATGAAATTTACGCCTTTTCTTATTATTTTGATCGTGCGACAGAGGTAAGTTGTTTTGACCGAGCCTGATTCACGAAAGAAAGCATCAAATTTAAATTTATTGGTATTTTAGGTTGGTCTAGTCGATCCCTTTTTTGGCGGAGCTATCCAAGTAAGTGCGTTTTTGAAACATGCAAAGGAAGCCTGCGATTATCCAAACACTGATCAACCTTTTATTTGCCTTGATCTAACGTTCATTTATATTCTTCTGCGTGACGGATTTGGATTAGAACCCACTACGAAACTTTATGTAAGATTCATACACCATAATAGAAATTTAAAAATGTTTAGAATCGAGCTGATCATAATAGATTATTTATTTATTGAATTAATATGTTGTATATCTGAACAGCTTTACAAGAAGATCAATGGACACGAGTTAAGCTGGGCCCTTGGTGCTGCCTTTAATATTATCCAAAATGGTCTTTAACGCAGCTCAAAAATAGGGAAATGAATTACAAATATTTTTGCACAAATATTAGAACGTATCAATTGTTATGAAACTATTCGTTTTAAGTAGAAATCATTTATTTATTAACACGTTTACTGGTCTTATCACATATTCAGTTGTTCTCTTTTTACATTGTCTAATGTACATACAACGTGTTTATACCTCATATAACATATTTTCTAATGTGTTCAGACATTTTCGAGCAATTGCAGTATTAATGAAAGTAAACGTGTTAAATTTTAATATCAGAGATTCTTAAGGTTTTAGGTATTTTAAAACTGTTCTTGAAAATCGATGACGTTTTTATTGTTTATACTTATAATGTATACATAGAAATTTAGACGACGGATTGAAAATATCATACTAATTAGTGACTAAATATTGTTTTAAAAAACCTTTAAAAAGAAACTTGAGGAATGTATATATTGAATTTTAATAAAACTAATGACAATTTCATAAAAAATAATAATGATTTATAAATTGTTTAAGGAACGTACGTAACTTCTAAACACGTATATCTTATTCGATTATTTATTTTATTCTATAGAGCTTCCCTATATTAGGGACACGTTTTCTTAAGAATTTCTGGTAAAAGCTAAGTTACTATGTACGGTAAATGTCAATTGATATTGGGATATTAATATTTTTCATCCTATTTCTTTACTCTTTCTAGTACAATTTATTTCGTCATTTTATAAAGTGTACATATTCAATAATTTGACTTTTTCAATTAAAAACGTAAAAGAAGAGGTAGATACTAGTGTAATTTAAATACTTGTTCCTTATTTATTAATATACAAAACTTCTGTAACGATGAAACAATATACCAGAAAAAAAGAGAAGTTTCTATTATTACAAAACATTATTTTGGATTGTTTTTATAATTATATATGAAAATGTTATTGGATTTTAAATATTTTTACATTAAAGCATTACTAAAGTAGATATGTTTTAATTTAATTGCCTACATTATTATTAATATTATAAACAACATGATTTTAAACCAGTTCAATCTTGTATACGGTTGTATTTCGCGGGCAAGCGAGGGGTACCAACCTACGAGAGTAGGGGTACCAACCTCTCGGCGAATCCACGGCAAAGAGGAGATTATACCTGCTCTTTGCCCACGGTGTGGAGTGGGGGAGTAGAGTCGAGAAGAAGAAGCCAGTGACTATCTATGGTCACTGGACGCATGCTAAAATAAAAGTTATCTTTAACCGTAATTACGTGTATCTTTATTAACCATGAGACGTTAACATGCAGTGGGGTGTAAGGGAATGCCTAGCAGGCATTCTCCCGAGTCGACTAAAACCCTACAGTGGTAACCCCGACGTGATATTGATTGTGAGTTGTGTTCGGCCTACGCAGTAGTGAGAGACCATGCTACACGCTGTCGCGAAAACATTTTTATTGCATTGCAATATTTTGGACGAGTCGGCATAATAGTGCGTGGATCAGTGATGAACGCGTTTTTCTTATGTGGCGTCCGTCTTTGTTCGTTACAACGGCTCTTCATTGTGACCACGTGATTTTTGCCGCTGGTTGACCAGTTGCTGATGCAGCGCAGATTCCTCCGCCTGATGGTCAGTGATGCCAAAATCATGGGACGTTGGACAAATTTTTACCCTCTCCACGACGCACAATGTTCGATTCGAGGTAGAAAAGTTAAATATTCGATGTGTAAAATCTAAAAAAATCTGTCCGTGTGAGCTTTCCGTTCGGCTGTTCTCGTCATTTCTACGTTATTTGCTCGATGCTCAAGTCGCCTAAACATGTGCCAGCAGCATCGCCGAGTCGATAAAATAATATAATTTCGTCCATGGCACTATGGTAGAAGTGAGAAACCAGGAGATTCAGTTCGAATCCCGATTCTACGGTTTCAGTTCATTAACATTTTTTTAATACGTAACAATACATTCTTAATACATTAATACTTTGAAGTACATTAACTTACGAAGCACTTAAAAAAAAAGAAATGGACTGCTTTCTTTGTTGATATTTCTCTTATCGTATCCTTTCTTTCCTGGTTCTTTGCTTTTTCTAAAACTTTGTGGGGGGGAGGGGGGGTCCGCCATAGCGTCCCGGCGGCCTGGGCCTTTTTCCTGTGATGGCCGCAAACGTAGAAATGATGAGAGCAGTCGAACGGAAAGCTCACACGGACACGTGGGACAACACGCTTGTGTTAGATGAAATTGAAGTACAGGATCATTGAGACGTCGTGGAGAGGGTAAAAATTTGTCCCACGTCCCATGATTTTGGCATCACTGGTGATGGTTTTCAGATATTCGTTTCCACGAGCTGTTCAGCGTCACCGGCGCCTTTTTCTGCGAGGATGTTTGCGTGGAGCCAACGTTACCGGCGCCTTTTTCTGCGAGGGTGTTTGCATGAAACCAACGAATTTAGCATCATCGCAGCATCTCTTCTCCAGGATCTTCAATGAAGTAGGTTGTGAGACTTTTTGCGTCGCGAAAGGCATCCGTTAAAAATTGACGCCATTTTGAATTCGGTACGTGGCTAGCGGCGTCCGTTGAGAATCGACGCCATGTTGAATTTCAAATTTTGCATTCGCCGTGACCGTTGGTAGTCAACGCTAAGTTTGGCTTTCCGTATAATTTAATTTAATTTAATTACAATTACAAATTTTCCCTTAATTGTCACAATGGGACGCGTTTCGCATCCCACTGTTTTTAAAGGGTGGCGTTATCTAGGGACAAGCGGTCCCTTTTTGCTCATCGAAAATTCATTCATTTAGTCATTTTAATATACTTGAGCTCACTGGCTCAAGATGGCGTTTTGTAGGGGGGACGCCCCCTACATTACATTACATTACATTTAGGCTTTACTCGGGCGAAGCCTAAGTAACCTAGAAAATAAACCGGAGGATGTCTAAACGTTTTTTAGCTTTGTTACATACATATTCTACCTGACTGTTAAAGTACAGCCCCTCGTCCAACATGACGCCCAGGAATTTGACTTCCCTGCTACTTTCGAACACAACCCCTCCAAACTCTAAACTCCTCTTAGTTCCAATTCTATCCCTACTACGCGTGAAAGTTATCCATTGAGTCTTTTCCAACGCTAAGCTCAAACTAATATCTCTCAGATTTCCAATAATTTGTTCTATTGCTCCCCTAAGGGCCTTTTCTCTTTGATCCCTATCCCGACCCCAAACATACACCACAATATCATCGGCGTATAATTACATTACATTACATAACGGCTTTACTTGGGCGTAGCCCAAGATGGCGTTCGGAAGGGGGGAGACCCCCCCCCCCCCATATTGCCCAACGAAAACAGCGGCCTCTTCAAAACCAAAATTTTCCATATCGCACTCATATTAATACAATGCATTAACAAAGCGCCTCGGTTCACTCATTCTTCTTTTTATGACTAAAGAGAGAAGAGAGATACATACCAGCGCCTTGCATTTGTCATCATTCAGGTGGGGGGAAGGCAGCCCGCCACAACAGCCCTGTAAACTCAGAGAAAACACTAAGAAAATATACTCATATGATTCTACCCAACTTATCCAGGAATTTGGAGATTTTTTTACAGACCCCCAAATTTCCACTCATTGAAAATTTCCACGACATCCGAACCGGGGGAACCCCTTTTCTTCCAGGTACAAGTTCAAGTCCAATCTATCCATCAAAAATTTTTCACACTCCCACACTACGTGCTCGATCGATTCCTCTCCGCGACCGCAACTACAGTCCTTACTTTCAATTAAGTTTTTTCTATACAGCGATTCCCCTAAATTGAAGTGGTTCGTCCTCAGCCTACTCATTCTTGTAAGTAACTCCCTATCTGCCCCTGTGATTTTAAAAAACCAAGGCTTCTTATTTCCCACGTTGTTTTTGGGGTTACTGAAGTACTTTACACCCTTGAACATACCAATTGTAGTCATTCTATTAATAAATCTTTCCCACGCCCCTTCTGACAGATAAAGTCTAATGTCACGGGAGCAGACACAAACCCCCAGTTCCTCCTCCCCCATCGTTGCGAGCCCCGCTTGGAGGTCCGCACGTTCATTACCCTCAATTCCCACATGGCTTGGCACCCACGCGAAAGCCACATTCATGGCGTTCACTTCCTCCCCCTCGTTCCAAAAAGCATTCTTTCTCAATTCCCTGACTACCTCAAGACTCCAGGGGGCACACCCCCTGGTCCTTTCCCAAATGCCAGGGTTTAAGCCAGGTTTCAGTGATCCCGAAAGCATGAAACTTGGGGATGTATTCCTTTAATTCCGCGACCTTTCCCCGCACACTCCTAGCATTCCAAATTCCTATCAAAGTTGAATTCTCCATTTTACCTTGCATAGGAGGGTACACTCCCTTTTATCCCGGCAGCGGGGTGCCTCGCTCACCATCCCTCCAACGCTCTCTCCTTTGATGACAAATGCAAGGGGCAAATAAACCGCATTCCTACAAAAATATATAGATTTTATTGAGTATCGAGAAAAAGACCACCACCAACATAAAATATCCCTTAACCTATAGAGCCCGAACAAGCACAAAAAATTGTACAAAGGTATATTACCCTCCTCTCTCTTATCAAATAGATTTTTAAAGGCCCCGACCTCTGTATCCAAGGACGGGCTTACAATATCATTAGTATAGTCGGGGCGCCGATAGCAGGCCAGACGCCTGCTCACATCCAATTCCCTGCATTTCGCGCAGGTTCTTAACATCATACCAAAATTGCATCCTATTACAAAAAGCCAATAATACCAAATTAATTTTAAAATTAAAACGATTCCATAGCCCCTTCGATCCTGAAGGCCCCGCAAGGGCCGGACCAGGCAGCCGCAATTCCAAATCGGAAAAGTCCATATATTGTTCAAAATCAAAGAAACCATACTTTTCCATTCACTCTTCCATTCATCTTCCCAAGTCGCACATGTCCTCAAAAACTTAACCCAAAGGACGCACTTTTCCCCACGCATTTTCCCATATACTATAATCCCTCACAAAAACACATCGTCGATATCTGGGGTGGTACCCCAGACATTCACAGCTCTTTATCTGGTTCACCTTCATTGTCTTGCCGGAAGACCCATCCCAACGGGCCTTTCTTCATTTCTCGTAATCTCTGGAGGCAGCGCTCCTCTTCCCTTTCCGCTTCTGCCTGCACCCTTTCCCTTTCCCTTCTGGCATACGAGGGGCCAGGCAGACCGCTCTCCCACTCTTCCTGTTGCTTCCTTTTTTCCTCTTCCCTTGCAGCATACAGGGCCTTTTTCCTGTCAATTTTTGCTTGCGTTTTGGCCGGTATGGGGATATCCCACGGCGACCTTTGGGGAGTATTCCACTCCCTGTACTCCTCTTCTTCAGACTGCTTTTTTCCATATTTTTTCTTCCTTAAGTGTTGCTCAACCTCCTTCTCGAAACCCCTATCCGCTATCAAGCTCAAGAGTTCCGACAAAAATTCCTCCTCTCTTCTCTTCCTAAGTTGGTCGATTAGTTGTCTATTGGCTCTCTGCTCCATTTTACTCACTTTTTTTATTGCTGCCTCCTCCAGTTCCCCATAACCAAAAGTATATTCCAATTCTCCATACTCCGGGTCCGATTCCGGCTGTAAAACCTCATACCTATTGTCCCATTTCTTTTTTTCCATTTCGATCATTTTTCTTCTGACCAGTCCTACCCTGGTCTTAATGGGATCATCGTCGATAACTAGATTTATTCTACCCCTACCACGCCCCTTACTTGGGGGAGGGGGTCCTTTCGGATTCCTAGGGTTGGCCCCGAGCCTCCCTGATGGCCTGAAGTTCCTCTCCCAGGGGAACTTCCCCTTTCTCCCAAAACTCAGGGTTTTTAATTTTGTTTCTTCTAGATAAAGCTGGAAAGACCCTTGAACCGTCCACTCTGTCATCGTCGTCATCCAATATTCCATTATCCCCCATCTGTTTCGACACCCAATCCCTTGCAGTGGCATACGCCACATTACTTTTTTCACTGCCTTCTCTCTTTGGAATTTCCAGCAGCCCTTTGATAAGCTGGTGTTATCCCAACCACAGTTCAGGCACTTTGCCGGCCTGTCACATTGGCCATGCTCATTTTCCAAGCATCTAATACACCTCTTATACTTATTTCTACACTGTAACTGTATATGTCCAAAGGCGAAGCACCTATAACATTGTTTCACAGCTTCCACGAAAGGGAACACCCTTACACTAACGTGGCCGTGCCCAATCCACAATTCTTTTGGTAGTTGGTCCCCTTTAAATGTGGCAAGGATTGCGATGCCCTCCACCTACTCCGTCTTTCCATCCTTCGTAACCTTCTTTTTTAATCTTTCAAACTTCGCCTCCGGTTGGCCAGGCACCAGGGCTTCCTCTAATGCATCCACGGGCTCCTCCCAGTCGATGATCACACCCTTTCTGGTTTTCTTTCGTTCAGGCAAATATGCATTGAAGCATGCATCTCCCTCGTCTGCGCGTCTCAGGATTTCGTTGGCGGCCGCCATTTCGCTGAAAGTCAGCTCCGCCCTATTAAAAGCGACCATTTTGAAACCCCTCAAGAACCTTCCTTTATTTTTAATTATTCTATATATTTTAATAATGTTTCTACGTTTCATTCTGCTGGTGGCCTCCTTTTTCAACACCAGCTACACCATATACTCTCTGCTCGCGAGCTCTTCCTGATAGTAGGATCTCTTTAATTTCTCACCTATTGGAGCGCCTACGCCGTGCTCAATGGTGGCCAGTCCTTTGTTCCTTCGTATCTCTTCGTCCTTTGCAAGTTCCAATTTCTCAATATCCTTTGTGCCCTTTTCTTCTTCCACGTTCTTATCCTTTTTATCTATATTAACAGTACGGTTAGGTTCATTGCACGCCTCCATGGTTTGTTTGTCACCCCTTTTTTTACCTTGTCCTGCAAGTCCCAGATCCTCCTCGCTAAACCTTCGTAACCTCTTTCTGCTTGTTTCTACCAACGTCCATTTGGCTTTGTCGCTAGGCGTTCTTGATGCGTCGTTACCGCGTTCTAACGGCTTTTCTGACGTCATTTCAATACTATCAACTTCGTCTTTCGAAAGATCCTTGTCCTGTTCCATTGGGGCCTTGCGTGGCTCTTTTTGATTGGCCACCTCCCCACTTACTTCCTTCTGTTCAAATTCTGCCACAATTTTAGCAACCCTCAGCTCCCTCTGAGGTGTTTTTTCCATAACCGTTTTTCCAGCAAAAAATTCTCGTGCTTCCTTATCCTCTTCCAGGTATTCCGTCTCCCATTCCCCGTCACTTCCAGGTTTTTCCAAATCCATATCTATCACAGGTTTCGAGCCTTCATTTTCGCTGAGGCTTTTACTCTTATTCCTCACCTTCTCCTTAATTCTTCGTCTTCTACTCCCAAGCGGCATGTCTTTGCCGCTTGGGAGGATCCCCTCCCCCCTCCGGTTAATTCCTGGACCGAGAGAACTCAGTCCAGGAAAAATGCCCCAAAGTCTCCTCCCCGCACTCTTTTTACCCGGGTTTTAAACTAGGCCCGCTAAACACTTCACTTTCTCGATAGGAAAACTATTTTCCCTATGAAAAACCATTCAATGCAAAATTTCCAGCGCGCTCACCGCACTACCAACCGCTCCGCTCAGCCGTCGAAACGGAATAATTTTTACTATATTGTTCCTTTTAAATTTGCTTGTACTCTCCTTCCCAAGTATCATTGTAATCATGTATTCCTTACTTCTCAGCTCTTCTACGTAAAATTGTTTGTTCTCACCTCGCACTCTTCTTCTGTTTATTTTTCTTCCTAACGGTATAGAGTCCTTTTCTGCTATGCCTTCAGTATTCTCACCTTCCGTCGTGCCTTCCGATGACGCCACAACTTGCCGAACCGGTGTGGTCGCTCGTTTTGCACCTACGGGGGGAGTGTTATCTACTGCGAGAATTTCACCTTCTTTTCTGTCTCTTTTTGTACCTTCTTCGTTACTCTCCGTCTCTTCCTCTGCTGCCCTCTTCCTTACTTTTCTGAGTTCTTCCAGTCCAATCCTTACATTTAACGTACTCTTCAAAGAATGAGCTGTAGGCTCCTTCTTCTTATTCCCCTTCTTTTTCCCAGGGGTACCACTCTTCTCCTGATCCATCGCCTCCTCACTAGGGGGAGCTGCAAATTCCCTACTCTCCTCTTTACCTTCTTCCACGCTCATGCTGGGGTCCCCAGCATCTTCATCCTTGCGGTTGGTATCCTTCAACGGTTTTCTGCTTCTGTTAAGGATTTCGAAAAATTCCCTAGCTTCGGGGTCCTCCTCTAAATATTCAGCCTCGAATTCCACCATACTTAAGTTGAGTTCTTCCGTCTTTTTTTCTAATTTTCCAGTTCTTTCCCCTTCACTTTTACTCCTTTTCTTCTTCTCTACACTTTCCTTCTTTATTTTCCTAACGATCCTTGTCCCAACATCTCCTCCCTGCGACACTGTCTTGTCGCAGGGAGAGACCGCACCCTCCTTATTCACTTTTCTCTCTTGGGCTCGCCTTCCCAGGAATGAGCGACCCCAAGAGGAAACACTTTTGTACAGGAAAAACCCCCTAAAAAAGTACTAATGAAAACTCAAGTTCCCAGACCAATCCCTCCTTAAAAACTTCCTAATCACGCGTGTCACTTCTCCGTACGTCCGTTGTCTACGGTTGCCACCGTGAGACTCCCCCTATCACCTTCTTTTGTCTCTTCAACGTCCTTACTGTTCTATTCTACTCTATTTATTTTTTTCTTGGGCGAAGCCCAAGATGGCGTTTCAGGGGGAAGCGCCCCCTATATTGCCCAACGAAAATTATTGTCCAACATATAAAATAAAAACTTATTACAAACAAAAGTATACACTAACAACGTTTGCTCTTTTCTAACGCTGGAAAGGCAAACACTTCATACAAAACCACTCAAAAAACCAACAGCACTCTTCTATAAAACTCTCTCAGTCAGATAACATATTAGGGGGCCTGAAAGTAATGTCGTTTTCTTACATTAAATTCAAACGCATAAATTTTTAACGAGCTTTTATTCCTAATCAATTATATAATCACCCTCATTATCAACAACCTTTTGCCATCTAGTGTGCAAATTTTCAATGCCGGATCTATAAAAATCAATTGGTTTTTGAGAAAAATATATTGAGATGGCATTTTGGACATCATCCAAATTTGCGAATCTTTTGCCACTTAAAAAGTGTTGAAGCGATCGGAATAAATGGAAATCCTATGGTGCAACATCGGGCGAGTATGGTGGGTGAGGCAGTACCTCCCACCCCAATTCGTTAATTTTTTCAAGGGTTCGTCTAGCGCAGTGCGGTCTTGCATTATCATGTTGCAAAATAACGCCTTTTCTGTTGACAATCGCGGGCCAGTTTTCAATTAAAGATTTATTTACACGATCCAATTGTTCACAATAAAGGTCTGCATTCACAGTCTGTCCAGGTTTTAGCACTTCATAATGAACAACGCCGCGAATTCTCCATCAAACACACAAAAGGGCCTTTTTGGGGTGTAAACCTGGCTTAGCAGTACTTCGTGGCGATTCATTTGGAGAGAGCCACTGCCTTTTGCGTTTTGGATTATCATAGAGAACCCACTTTTCATCTCCGGTGATCAAGCGATCAAAAAACGCTTCTGTATTGTGCCGTTGAAGCAATAAGTTGCATGTGGTGGATCGGTTAAGTTTGTTCTCTTCGGACAGCTTATGCGGGACCCAAACACCTGCTCTGCTTACTTTCCCAATCTGCTGCAAATGTTCTTGGATGGTCGACCAAGGTTGGTTAAGACTGTTTGACAATTCCTCGATTGTCTGACACGGATTAGCTTCCACTTCCGCCCTTAACACGTCATTGTCTAACGTTGTTGGTCTTCCTGATCGATACGAGTCGGAAAGATCAAAATTACCGGATTTGAACTTGGAAAACCACCTTTGGCATTTACGAACGTCTAATGCATTTGGATAAACATCGCAAATGTTTTCGGTAGCAACTGTTGCGTTACTACCCTTGCGAAACTCAAAAAGCATGCAATGCCGGATATGTATCTCTTCTGGTATTTGGCTGGCCATTTCACCCAAAATTGTAAAAAAAAATTATAAATTTAATTATTTACAAATGAACAAGTCACTATAACCTCAGAATATCTTTGCCACGACTTTGATGTAAACAATGAGCTGACAAATGACAAACGAATAGTGACATGCGCAGAAACGACATTACTTTCCGGTCCCCCTAATATTTATTTCATTTTCAGTTGCCCAATTAACCTTTTTTGAGCTCGTTGTTCGACCATACTGATCTTTTTGATAGCTCGCTCCATTGGTAGGCCATTTCCAAAAACATATTCTGCTTCCTCAGGGGCAGTCCCATCTTCCTCCTGTTGTAAAGTCTCAAAAACATTTGAGACACTGATCGTTGGGCCTTGAGCGCGGGGTAGCCTGTTCTCCGCGGCATAATCTTCTTGCCTCAACCTACCCCTGCCTCTACTTTTTCCCACTCCCTGGCTCCTCCTCATATTCTCGGGAACACTTTCCCATCTTCTCGCTCCCATCCTTCCACCCTCCACATTCTTCTTGGCCTCCCTCAGCAATTCCAGTTCATCTTCCATTGGCACTTCTTTTGCCTCCCACCACTCGGTTCTTCTCATCGGCAGCATGGGATATTCTCTGCTACCTCCATCTCTTCCAACCTCTTCCTCATCCCAGTTTTCACCCAGTTGATTTGCCACTATACCCTTGGCTGTTGCGTATGCCACATTCTTATAGGCCATGACCTTTCTAATTAATTTCTCCCTCTGATATATCCAACAAGTCTTCGATAAGGACGTATGGTTTCCCCCACAGTTGAGACACACCGGGGATTTATCGCACGTCCCATGCTCCCTTCCCAAACACACAAGACACTTTTTCAAGCCCCGGCATTACATTTGTAAATGGCCGTATGAAAAACACTTATAACACTGTTTAACTTGTTCCACATACAGGAAGATACGGAGAGCTATATGGCCCGCCCCAATTTTCAACTCCGTTGGTAGACGGTCACCTTTTACTGTTACCAAAATCGCAACCCCCTCAGTCCAGACACTTTTACCGTCCTTAAACACCTTTTTCTTCATCCTTTCGAATTTGAATTCTCCTTGTCCCGGCATTACAAAATCTTCAAGGTCTTCGACCGAATCCTCCCATTCTGTAATCACGCCTTTTCTCATTTTCTTGCGTTCCGGAAGGAAGGCCTCAAATCCAGCACCGTCCTGATCCGCCATTTTAAGGATGGCGTTTGCAGCCGCCATGTCGCTAAAAGTAAGTTCCGCTTTGTTAAAACCCACCATTTTGAGTCCCCTTAAAAAGCGTGACCTCGGTCTAAGCATTCTATAAATCTTAACAATATTGTTTCTTTTGAATTTACTTGTTATCTCCCTTCCAAGTATCATTGTAACCATATATTCCTTGCTCCTCAGCTCTTCTAAGTACAACTGTTTATTCTCACCTCGTGCTCTTCTTCTATTTGTTTTTTCTCCTAAGGATATTAAATCCTTTCCTGTTACGCCTTCAATATTTTCACCCTCCGTTGCGCACTCTAGTGCCGCCGCACCTTGCCGGACAGGTATGTCCGTTTGTTTTCCACCTACGGGGGAAGAATTATCTACTCTTTTACTACCTTCTTCTTTATTGTCCGTCTCTTCCTCTGCTGCCCTCTTCCTGATTTTTCTGTATTCCTCAAACCCAGTCCTTACATTCACAACACTCCTCAGAGAATGAGCTGTAGGCTCCTTCTTCTTGTTCCCCTTCTTTTTCCCAGGGGTACCAAACTCAACCCGACCCATCACCTCCTCACTAGGGGAAGCTACAAATTCCCTATTTTCTTCTTTGTCCTCTTCAACAGTCTTGCTGGGGCCTCCAGCAACTTCTTCCTTACGGTTGGTATCCACCAACGGTTTTCTATTTCTGTTAAAAATTTCAAAAAATTCCCTAGCCTCGGAATCCTCCTCTAAATATTCGGCTTCGAAATCAGCCATACTTAGGTTGATTTCTTCCATCTTCTTCTTTAATTTTACGATTCTCTCCCCTTCGCTCTTGCTCCTTTTCTTCTTTTCTCCACTTTCCTTCCTTAATTTCCTAACGTTCCTTACTACAACCTCTCCTCCCTGCGACAATGCCTTGTCGCAGGGAGAGACTACACCCTCCTTATTCACTATTCTCTCCTGGGCTCGCCTTCCGGGGAATAAGCGACCCCAAGAGAACACTTTTATATAGAAAACCCCCTAAAAAACACTAATGCAAACTCAAGTTCCCAGAAAAGCACCTCCTTAAAAACTTCCTAATCAAGAGTACCACTTCTCCGTACGTCCGTTGTCTACGGTTGCCACCGTGAGACTCCCCCTTATCACCTTGTATGTATGTATTAGGTCATCCCATAAGTTCGTGCCGACTTTTGTATGTATACATTTCACGCCTCGATTTATAAACACAAGGCGATAAGAAACCAATGCACTTCAGTTTATTTGTTTGAGGGCAGTCTAAAAGAGATTTTCATGGGTATGGGATCGTGAAATAGTGAACGGATTGATTTTTAACAGTTAAAAATGATGAGTGAAATTCGTATTCATTTCCGACATCTAATGTTATATGAATTCCGAAAAGGAAGTTCGGTAACAATTGCAAAAACAATATATGTGCTGTTTGTGGAGAAACTGCTCTTTCATCTTGTAACTGTAGAAAATGGTTTACACGTTTTAAAGATGAGAATTTTTGTTTAGAAGATTTGTTTCAAGATCTTGTAGAGAAATCACTTAATTTATCAGTTCATGAGATGTCAAATATTCTAGAAATACCAAAAACAACAATTCATACACATTTAAAGACATTAACACATGGGACCGTTCAAAAAACGGCACGAACTTATGGGATGACCTAATATTTTATTTTCTTGGGCTCTGCCCAAGATGGCGCTTCAGGGGGCAAGCGCCCCCTATATTGCCTAGTTACATTACCGCACTAAATACAAAATTATAATCTATATTACAATTTTTTTCCGTACGCCTCTACTTACACACAACACTCCATCTCCTCACCATTCTTTATATAGATACACACATTCGAATCATAAAGTTACTGCCCCTCCTGTGCATTGCTCCATTTCCATTATACACTTCTTTTAAATGACTTTCCCCAGTTTGTCTAGGAACCTGGAGATGCGTTTAAGAACCCCCAAGTTTCCTCCCATCAACATTTCCTGAACATCCGCCCCTTCATTATATCCCTTTGCAATTAAGAAGTTATTAAGCTCTTCTCTACTTTCTATGAATCTATCACATTCCCACACTACGTGCTCAATAGATTCTAATTCCGCCCCACAGATACAACCTTTCTCTTCTACCAAATTTTTCCTAAATAGCGAATCCCCCAGGTTAAAATGGTTCGCTCTAATTCTACTCAATCTCACTAAATCTCCCCTATTCATTCCTTTTATGCTATCGAACCATGGTTTCCTTGCCCCCGCATTATTATTCTCAATTGAGAAATATTTTGCCCCTTTAACTTCACCCTTTCTTTTTGCCCTCTCATGGTTTCTGACCCATGCACCCTCCATTATATATCTCATCACATCCCTTTCCACCACCCCATATTCAAACACCTCCTCCCCATTTGTCGCCTCCCCCGCTTTCATATCCGCCCTTTCATTACCCTCGATACCCACATGGCTGGGAATCCAAGCGAAACCTAGTCTATTACCTGGTGATCTACTCCCCTGCCCAACCCCTTCATTTCCTTTATATTCTTCCTCCAGAATCATAATTTCTTCTATAATTTCTTGGATCCAGGGATTGTCCCCCGTCCTTCTAGGAAAACCTTCCAGTTTTTTAAGGGCGCTCGCCGAGTCCGTCAGAATGAGAACTCTTTCCCTTCCCCAATTTAGCCTCGCCTTCTTAACCGCCTGTAATAAAGCAAAAGTTTCCGCCGAAAAAACCGACGTGACTCTATTTAATGACCACGATTCCTCCGACCATTCGCCCGATGTTCCCTTCGTTACTACTCCCGCGCCTACCACCTCTGTCAAACCTCTTTTAGACCCATCGGTGTAAATTTCTATTACCCCCTTATTGTCGCACCTCGGCCAGATTTTATCCTTGATTTCCTTGATCAATTGCTCGTCTGGGTAATCTTCCTCCTTTCTGCGCTTACCCACTTCCCACTCCACAGTTATTCCACCCCCCTCTACAAAATCGCGCCTTTTATTTAATACTTCCCTTCCAGTATTATTATTCATAACTCTTTCTGCTACCCCCTCTGCTTTACGCCATGCCCTCACCCACGGATCCCACTCCTCCGAAGGATCTTCCTCTCTCACCACTAGGGTTCTCGCTAAAGCCTCGTAAACCACCCCCCTACCTTTAATTCTATGTTTCATCACAAATCTTTCTAGCAATGCTTCCGCTCTGGATTCCAGGTCCATTATCCCAGCTTCCGTGTTCATTACATTTATAGGGGTGGTTATTCTATACCCCATAGCTATACGGACCCCCGCGTTATGTAACCTCATAATCTTATTCAATGCTCTTTCATTTTCCCAAAAGAAAAGAAACAGGCCATACTCGATCACAGATCTAATCAACCCTTTAAAGAAAATCAGCATTGTACTTGGTTTGACACCCTTCTTAATTCCCGTAATGAACCTCAAAATGTCCAATTTTTTTCTAACTTTATTCGAGACCAGTTCTATATGTTTGCTGAAGCTGAGGGCCCTGTCCAGGGTAATTCCCAAGAAAGGGGCCTGTGCTTCCCCCTCCAAACGTTCTTCTCCTACTCTAAACTCTCCGAACCCCCTATTTCTATCTCTTGCCTTGGAGAAGACTACCACCTTGGATTTGCCTTCTGCCAAACCTAGCCCCAGCTCCTTAAGATTCTCCAACAACGCCCCCACCGCCCCCTCTAGCTTTTCCCTTAATTCGTCTATGTCCTCTCCCGTAATATAGACCACAATATCATCCGCATATAGCAGGACCCTCACCCCCCACCTCTCCATCCCTTTGCAAATTTCCGCCGTGTATATATTATATAACAGTGGGCTTAGAACCGAGCCCTGTGGCAGCCCCCTCTTAATTAGACCATTAACCCCTTCTAGGAATTTTCGAACACAGGTCGCTGATCTATCCTTCAGCCAATTTACGATGAAGCCCGCCACCCTTTCCGGGCAGTTCCTCTCCTTTAGGAGTGCTTTCAGTTTATTGTGGTTAACTAAATCGTATGCCGATTTTACATCCATAAATGCTGCCACGGTTTCTTTTCTGGCTTTGAAACCTGCCTTAATATCTGTGACCAAGGCCACCAGGTTATCCATAGTGGACCGTCCTTTCATGAAACCACTCTGCCGGTGGTCTACTATCCCCTCTTTGCCTACCCATTCACACAATCTTTCTTTTACCAATCTTTCTAAAATTTTACTCATACAGTTAATCAGGGAGATAGGTCTCAAGGCCTTTTTCCCGGGCTTTTCCAAGAATTTTATAATTACTCTTTTCCACATTTGTGGGATACAGCTATTCTCCCAGATCCAGTTATAAAGTTTCAGTAGGCACTTCTTCATTCCACTATCTAACTTTCTTAGCAGGAGGTATGAAATTCCGTCTTCCCCTGGAGCGGAGGATGCCCTAACTGAATCCAGAACCCCCTGCAAGTCCCTTTCTTCGAAGCCATCATATATACCAGCTTGTCCCTGGCTAACATACTCCCTCTCTCGGATCTGAACAGGGGTTTCCAACTCCCCCTGCCCCTCTTTATCTTGAGTCCCCTCTAAGTCATAGGCAAATATTTTTCCCATCTCTCGTTCCTCCAGCGAATTTATTTCTTTTTCATTAAGGTTGGCGCACCCTGTTTTTCCAATGCCATTCTTAATTTGCTTAATCTTTTGCCAGGCCTCCCTGGAACTAGTGTAACAATCGATTGAAGATGCAAAATCATCCCAAGCTCTAGATTTCTTTTCCTCTATAAGTTTTTTCATTCTTTTTCCTACCTCCCTCAAATTGATCCAATTAGCCTGACTCGGTGTTCTAATAAAGAGTTTTACAGCTTTTCTTCTATCTTTCTTAGCTTCATTGCAATCGTTGTCCCACCACATCTGCCCCTTAACATTTTTTGGTTTTGCTTTCCCTCTTACATCTTTTTTATTAGAACCCTCACCTGTTACAGAACCACCCGCTTTCCTAATAATCTTAATTATTGCCTCCGTGAGGTCCCTACATCTATCATCTATATTAAAGTTCTCCCATCCCTCTGCATTCCAATTTTCCATTAAAGCCCTCGCTTCCTCCCCTGATGCTGTTACAAACGAATCCCAATTTATTTTATCTATTTTAAACTTTCTAGTCGACCCCATCATTTCATTGACTCTATTTACTTCCTCCCCATTTGTCGCCTCCCCCGCTTTCATATCCGCCCTTTCATTTCCCTCAATACCCACATGACTGGGGATCCAGGCAAAACCTAGTCTGTTACCTGGTATTCTACTCCCCTGCTCAACCCCTTCATTTCCTTTATATTCTTCTTCCAGAATCATGATTTCTTCTATGATTTCTTGGATCCAGGGATTATCCCCCGTCCTTCTGGCGAAACCTTCCAGTTTTTTAAGGACGCTCGCCGAGTCCGTCAGAATGAGAACTCTTTCCCTTCCCCAATTTAGCCTCGCCTTCTTAACCGCCTGTAATAAAGCAAAAGTTTCCGCCGTAAAGACTGACATGACTTTATTTAACGACCACGATTCCTCCGTCCATTCCCCCACTACTCCCTTAGTTACTACTCCCGCGCCTACCACCTCTGTCCACCCCCTTTTAGACCCATCCGTATAGATTTCTATTACCCCCTTATTATCTCGCCCCGGCCAAATGTTTTCCTTAATATCTTTAATCAATTGCTCATCTGGATATTCTACCTCTTTTCTGCGCCTGCCCACTTCCCACTCCACTATTATTCCACCCCCCTCTACGAAGTCACGTCTTTTATTTAGGATTTCCCTCACAATATTATTACTCATAACTCTTTCTGCTACCCCCTCTGCTTTACGCCATGCCCTTACCCATGGATCCCACTCCTCCGAGGGCTCTTTCTCCCTCACCACTAGGGTTCTTGCCAAGGCCTCATATACCACCCCCCTGCCTTTAATTCTATGCTTCATTACAAATCTTTCTAGCAGTACTTCCGCTCTGGATTCTAGGTCCATTATCCCAGCTTCTGTATTCATTACATTTATGGGGGTAGTTATTCTGTACCCCATAGCTGTGCGGACTCCCGCATTATGAAGCTTCATAATCCTGTTCATTGCTCTTTTATTTTCCCAAAAGAACAGAAACAATCCATACTCAATCACCGATCTAATCAATCCTTTAAAAAAGATCAGCATTGTACTCGGCTTAACCCCCTTCTTTATTCCCGTTATAAACCTCAAAATATCCAATTTTTTTCTAACTTTATTCGAAACCATTTCTATATGTTTGCTAAAATTGAGGGCTCTGTCCAGGATAATTCCTAAAAAGAGGGCCTGTGCCTCCCCCTCCAACCGTTCTTCTCCTATTCTAAACTCCCCAAACCCCCTGTTTCCAACTCTTGCCTTAGAGAAGACTACCACCTTGGATTTGCCCTCTGCCAGACCCAGCCCCAACTCCTTAAGGTTCTCCAACAACTCCCCCACTGCCCCCTCTAATTTTTCCCTTAATTCGTCTATATCTTCTCCCGTGATATATACTACAATATCGTCCGCATATAGTAGAACCCTCACCCCCCATTCCTCCAACCCTTTGCAAATTTCCGCCGTATATATATTGTATAATAATGGGCTTAGGACCGAGCCCTGTGGGAGCCCCCTCCTAATTTGGCCATTAACTCCCTCCAGGAATTTTCGAACACAAATCGCAGATCTATCCTTTAACCAATTTGTTATAAATCCCGCCACCCTTTCCGGGCAGTTCCTTTCCTTAAGGAGTGCTTTCAATTTCTTATGGTTCACTAAATCATATGCCGATTTAACGTCCATAAAAGCTGCCACGGTTTCTTTTTTGGCTTTAAACCCTGCCTTAATATCTGTAACCAAGGCCACCAGGTTGTCCATCGTGGACCGTCCTTTCATGAAACCACTCTGCCGGTGGTCTACTATCCCCTCTTTATCTACCCATTCCCCCAGTCTTTCCTTTACCAATCTTTCCAGTATTTTCCCCATACAGTTAATCAGAGAGATAGGCCTCAATGCCTTTTTCCCCGGTTTTTCCAGGAATTTTATCACTACTTTTTTCCACATTTGTGGGATGCAACTATTCTCCCAAATCCAGTTATAGTTTCAATAGGCATTTCTTCATTCCGTTGTCCAATTTTCTTAACAGGAGATATGAGATTCCGTCTTCTCCTGGTGCGGAGGATATCCTCACTGAGTCCAGAACTCCCTGCAGGTCCCTTTCTTTAAAGCTGTCCTGAAACCCAAGTTGACCTTGTCTAACATATTCCCTTCCTCGAAATTGATCAGGGGTTTCCACTTCCCCCTGCCCTTCTTTATCCTGGGCCCCCTCTTGTTCGTAGGAGAATACTTTTCCTATTTCTAGTTCCTCGAGCAGGTTTAGTTCTTTTTCATCAAGGTTGGCGCACCCTGTTTTTCCAATGCCATTTTTGATTTGCTTAATCTTTTGCCAGGCCTCCCTGGAGCTGGTGTAACAGTCAATTGAAGATGCAAAATCATCCCAGGCTTTGGCCTTCTTTTCTTCTATAAGTTTCTTCATTCTTTTTCCCACCTCCCTTAGATTTATCCAGTTATCCTGATTCGGCGTCTTAATAAATAATTTTGCTGCTTCTCTTCTATCTTTCTTGGCTTCATTGCATTCGTTATCCCACCATGTCTGTCCCTTAACATTTTTTGGTTTCCCTTTCCTTCTTTCACCATTCTTATTAGATACCCTATCTGATATAGCCCCACCCGCTTTTCTGATAATATTAATTATTGCCTCCGTGAGGTCCCTACATCTATTATCTATACTAAAATTCTCCCACCCCTCCTCGTTCCAGTTTCCCATTAATTCCTTCGCTTCCTCCCCTGATACTGTTACGAATACATCCCAATTTATTTTGTCTACCCTGAACTTTCTAGTCGACCCCCCCACTTCAGTGGACCTATATACTTCCTCGTCCCCGAACAATAATCCTAAGACCTGATGGTCTGATCCCATGGTCTCATTTTTTTCCGTTACCGTTGCCTTTTCCTTCGCATAATGCGAACCTATAAAGAGGTCGATATTCGACGGCGGTCTGCCCCCAGTTCCCAATCTTGAGCTAGTACTTGTATTGATAACAAACATATCGTAGTCTCTAATAACCTTTTCCAATAAAGTACCTTCTTTGCTATCAACATGACAATTCCATGTTTTACTTCTAGCTTTAAAATCACCCATTACAATTGTTTCGACATTGGGTCTTTTATTTTTAAATAGTTTGACCCAATCTTTTCTTTCCCACTTCTCTCCTGGCCTTCTATAGACCAGTAGAATATCCCATATACCCTTTTTAGTTTCTACCGAGATCCCTAAAATTTCCCTTCCCGTACCTCTCCACGTTACATCCTTTCTTATCACAAACTTTATACTTTCTTCCACTACAAACGCCAAACCCCCACCCTGCCTGTCCTCTTTCAGATCTCCCCTAATTATGTTATATCCCGGAATCACAAATCTATCTTTCTTTTTCAGCCATGTTTCTGTTATCTCTAGGATATCGAAGTTTTTTATGTTCTCTTTGATCTCGCTTAGTTTTCCCCTGACACTTCTTGCATTCCAAGTTCCCATACAAAACTTACCCTTAAGCGTTGAATTAGCCATTTGGCCCGGTTTTAACCCCTCTTTTCCTTTTCTTAAAAACTACCTTTCCCAGTTTTTCCTCTCCTCCTTCACGCTTTATCCAACCTTCCCTCCCAGCTTTGCAACAGGGGGGGCAGTAAGAAAGAATCAGAGACCTACAAGAAAATATGCTTTTAATCTTTATGTCATTAAAATCCACATCACATTGTCTACATTTAACATGAAATTTCCCCTCACCAACTCTACGTCCCCCATAGGAGGCTCGTATTCTCAAATACATAACATCGATTAAATTATATAAGCTATCAATACCTTTCCGTGGCGTTTCTATTTGATCACACCACGTTATCCGAGGCGAAGCCTCTTCTTCCCCCAGCCTGCTTTTCTTACAATACTTAACCCCTTCTTGGATTTCTTCCATACTTAATCTTCTTTCACCTGTAAATGTAACCCTGGTCGAGAGATTCGACCCATACATCCACTCATCCCAGCGCGACACACAATCTAAGTCACGTGCGCTCAGTAACAACCAGTCACAATACCATAGAGCATACCTTTTATATGATATCGCTATTGTAAACGAAATTACTCTAATTATTAATAACATATCTATATCTACGAATAAAACTAAGCCACGCATGGTTTTCACCTCAAAGTCTCGCATACCTACATAACCCACTCTCATCCCTTCCTTACTGTCCATATCTTTACTCATCATTAAAAGTCTCTCTATTTCCACACACTCTCCCCTCTATTCTTCTCATGAGGTCTTCTAGTCTTCCTCTTCTATAGTCATCTTCCTGATTTGCTCTTTCTTTAGTCCATCCATATTGTTGGTGGGCTCGGACAGCTATATCTTCCAGTGTTTGTTCTTGCGCTTCCTTTGCCGCTTTCTGTGCTTCATATTTTTCTTTCCTTCTTCTCAACTTCTCCCTTGTCTTCTCCGGGATGGGAATATCCCAATTGGGCCTGTGCCTGGTCGTATTCCAATACGCATATTCCTCATCCTCTGTCCTCTGGTCCTCTCTTTTATTGTCATTTAACATTCTCTCAACTTCCTGCTCATAACCCTTTTCCTTTATTAACTTCATCAAATCTGACAGGAACTCTTCATCCCTTTTCTTTTCTAGTTGCCCAATAATCCTTTCTTGGGCACGTTGCTCCATCTTACTCATCCTCTTGATGGCGCGTTCTACCGGGAGCCCCTCCCCAAACACATACTCCGCTTCCTCCTGGCCAGTCTCCACCTCTTCCTGTTGTAGGGAATCAAATCTATTTGCCACATTTATTGTTACCCCTTGTGTGCGGGGCGATCTGTCCTCAGCGGCATACTCTTCCAGCCTTAGTCTTCCTCTTCCCCTGCTTCTTCCTCCTGCCTGTTTTCTTCTCATATTCTCAGAGAAGCTTTCCCATCTTCTTATTCCAACCCTATCTCCTTTCACCTTCTTCTTTGCTTCCTTCAACAGTTCCAACTCGTCCTCCATGGGCACCTCCTTTGCCTCCCACCACTCCGTTCTTCTCGTTGGCAGCATGGGATAGTCTCTGCTGCCAGCGTCCCTTCCCAAGTCCTCTTCATCCCAATTCTCTCCCAACTGGCTTGCAACTATCCCCTTGGCTGTTGCATATGCAACGTTCTTGTATGCCATAACCTTTCTGATTAGTTTCTCCCTCTGATGAATCCAACAGGTCTTCGAAAGGGACGTATGGTTGCCTCCACAGTTGAGACACACAGGGGTCTTGTCACACGCACCATGCTCCCTCCCCAAGCACACTAAACACTTTTTTAAGCTTCTACATTGCATTTGTACATGACCATAAGCGAAGCACTTATAGCACTGCTTTACTTGCTCTACGTATGGGAAAATACGTAGAGCCACATGACCCGCACCAATCTTCAAGTCCGTTGGCAATCGGTCCCCTTTCACAGTAACTAGTATCGCAACCCCCTCAGTCCAAACGCTCTTTCCGTCCTTAACTACCTTCTTCTTCATCCTCTCAAATTTAAACTCGCCTTGCCCAGGCATTATGAAGTCCTCTAAATCTTCTATTGAGTCCTCCCATTCAGTAATTACACCTTTCCTCGTTTTCTTCCGTTCTGGGAGGAAGGCCTCGAAACCTGCTCCCTCCTGCTCCGCCATTTTGAGGATAGCGTTCGCGGCCGCCATGTCGCTAAAAGTAATTTCCGCTTTATTAAAACCCACCATTTTAAGCCCCCGAAGGAAGCGTGACCGAGATCCAAGTATTTTATAGATCTTAACTATATTATTTCTTTTAAACTTGCTTGTACACTCCCTCCCCAACACCATTGTAATCATATATTCTTTACTTCTCAGCTCTTCGACGTAAAATTGATTTCCCTCACCTCGCTCTATTCTTCTATTTGTTTTTCTTCCTAGGGGTATAGCGTCCTTTTCCGCTATTCCTTCAATAGTCTCACCTTCCGTCTTGTCTTTCAATGGCGTTCCAACTTGCCGGACCGGTGTGGTTGCTCGTTTTGCGCCTGCGAGGGGACTATTGTCCACTACGAATTCTTCACCTTCTTTTTTATCCCTTTTCGAACCTTCCTCGTTGATCTCCGTCTCTTCTTCCGCCGCTCTTTTCCTTACTTTTCTACTCTCTTCCAATCCTATCCTTACATTAGCCGTACTCTTCACAGAATGATCTGTAGACTCCTTCTTCTTGTTCCCCTTCTTTTTCCCAGGGGTACCACCCTTCCCCTGCTCCATAGCCACCTCACTAGGGGGGGCTACGAATTCCCTACTCTTCTCTTTGCTTTCTTCCACTATCATGCTTGGGCCACCAGCTTCTTCATCCTTGAGGTTGGCATCCTTCAACGGTTTTCTACTTCTGTTGAGAGTTTCAAAAAATTCCCTAGCCTCGGGATCCTCTTCCAGACATTCTGCCTCGAATTCAATCATACTTAGATTGAAATCTTCCGTTTTTTTTTCCAATTTTCTAATTTTTTCTCCTTCACTTTTGCTCCTTTTCTTCCTTTCTATACTTTCCTTCCTTACCTTTCCAACACTTCTTGTCCCAACATCTCCTCCCTGCGACACAGTCTTGTCGCAGGGAGAGACCGCACCCTCCTTGTTCACTATTCTCTCCTGGGTTCGCCTTCCAGGGAATAAGCGATCCAAGAGGAAACACTTTTATGTAGGAAAAACCCCCTAAAAAAGCACTAGTGAAAACTCAAGTTCCCAAACCAAAATCTCCTTAAAAACTTCCTAATCACGCGTGCCCCGTCTCCGTACGTCCGTTGTCTACGGTTGCTACCGTGAGACTTTCCCTATCACCTTCTTTTGTCTCTTCAACGTCCTTACTGTTCTATTCTATTCTATATATTTTTTTCTTGGGCGAAGCCCAAGATGGCGTTTCAGGGGGAAGCGTCCCCTATATTGCCCAACGAAAATTATTGTCCAACATACAAAATAAAAACTTATTACAAACAAAAGTATACACTAACAACGTTTGCTCTTTTCTAAGGCTGGAAAGGCAAACACTTCATACAAAACCACTCAAAAAACCAACAGCACTCTTCTATAAAACTCTCTCAGTCAGATAACATACTTCTCTTACCTTTTCATATTCTCTCTTATTTAAATAAAGACAATTTACGGTTGCACTGGGCAGCCTCTAAAATTCCTCACCCCCGAAGAGTGGGAAGGCGAAAAAACTCAACGATTTTAAATCCTCTGCCTTAACCTCTAAATAACTTTTTGAAGTCTGTCTAGGAATCTGGACATACGTTTTATCACTCCCATTTCCCCTTTTAAAATCATCTGCTGTACATCTTCTCCCTCTTCATATCCCTTATCTATTAAATATTTATTTAACTCATATCTATGTGTAAAGAATCTATCACATTCCCATATTATTATACATGACAGTTCGTCACCGAATTTTTGTTTGGCACTGTAATTATTAGTATTTGCAGTAACTGATTCCTTGTATGTTGTACATTGTATAAATGTCAACAATTGCTGACAAATACGTCCAGTAATAAAATATATGATGCAATCAAACGTTGCTGGCATGCTATAATCATGCTCATGTTCAAAACAATCAAATACACTACAATTACCATTTTTGATTGCATTATCTAATGTTAATTTAATTTTATTGAGTGATTCAATATTACATCGGATAATGGAGATTCTACTGCAATTAAAACTGCTTCATTAGTACGAAAGTGATGTCAGGAAAATCAATTTTCTATATCATTAATATTCCGTAGAAAACAGACCTCAAGAGCATCCTGATTTATATTCCCTGATAAAACACGTCCTCCCATTCCGTTATGACCCCCTTCCTAATCTTCTTTCTCTCAGGCAGTGATGCCAGAACCGTGGGACGTGGGACAAATCTTTACCCTCTCCACGACGTCCCACGACGTCCCAGTGACTCCCCTACCGCAGTTGTTTCATCTAACACAAGCGCGTTGTCCCACGTGTCCGTGTGAGCTCTCTGCGGGTTTGGCAGAGTTCGGCTGCTCTCGTCATTTCTACGTTATCGGCTCGATGCTCAAGCCGCTAAAGCACGTGGCAGCAGCATCGACGAATCGACAAAATAATATAATTTTGTGCATGGCAATATGGCTGAATTAAGAAACCAGGAGAATCAGTTCGAATCCCGATTTTACGGTTTCAGTTCTGATTCTTAATACATTAACGTTTTTCTAATACATAAAAATACATTTTTGATACATTAATACTATGAAATACATTAACTTGGAAAGCAGTTAAAAAAAAGAGTTGAACTGCATCTTTCTTTGATATTTTTTTTAATATTTAAGTTTTATATATATACATATGTATGTACGTACATATGATAAAAGTACGTGATACAGAAGTAATTTCTTCAATTAGATATTACTGTTATTCTAACTATTACAATACGTAAATTCGAAGACATACGAGGAAAATTGGTTAGGTTAAATTGTAAGGATATAAAGAAATTTCAATCTTTAACGGTTTGTCAGTTTTATTTCTTATTCCTTACAACTATTATAATTTTATTCTGTGAATGGTCATTACAATGAAAGATGGATTAGATACAATTTGATTCCTCATTTAATTTGTTATATACATATCAGGTTTCTTGCAACTATTGTACCTGGTCCACGCTTACACGATATTGCATATTTTACTTTCCTATAATACAACAAGGAAACAAAACTATAATATAGTGATTACCATAATACAATAGAAAATGTTAAGCTTGGTATAAACCTTGTTTTTTTTGTGTACTTAATCTGCAGTTACGCTTCGTTGCTTTATAATGACAGATTTTTCTTTTAAATGAAACTTCCACTAGCGTATTGATGAAATTTTTCGATTAAAACAAGATGAAACACGACATAATTTGAATTATAGTTACTTTATATATTTGCATTAGGTTTTAAATAAATAAGTAAATATAATGCAAATTATGTCGTGTTTGGTCTTATTTTAATCAGAAGAACCTTCCAATTACATTGGTAAAAGTTTCATTTAGCAAAAATGAAAAATAAAAAAGTTATGGTTAAATTAATATTGTCTCACTCAAATGTTTTTTCTCGGGCCCTTTAATTCTCGGACCTCTTTCTCTTTCGCTATTTGTCTTTTTCTACGTTCGCCAGCATTCAAGAACTCGCTCGAGCTGTGTTGTTCTGCCAGCCTCGCACACTTTTAGGAGAATCGGGAAAATCCAGCATAATAACACGTTCTATGCTGAAAGAATATACTAACTTATCTGTTTAATAAAATTTTAATAAATCTGGCAATAGATTTATTTTCTGACTGTTTTTCTTAAGTAATCAGAATTTCACCATTCTCCTGTACAGATCGTGTGTAGCAGTTTGTAGCAAACTCAACATATTTTCGATATTATGTAGAATACACAACCGATCGACAAATATTAAAAATCCAGGATATTTTGTGCCGCTTTTTGTATGTCAAGGGCCATCGAAATGAAATAAATGACCAACAATGAATAGTATAATATATGTGATCGCTGTTCATCTATTTCCTTTCTACGATGTACAGGATTGCCTCGAAATAAGCAAGTGGCTCGAGACCTAACAGTTGCTTATTTCGAAGCAGAGACCACTTGCTTATTTCGAGGCAATCCTGTATTTCTTCCGCAAGAGACGGTTTCCTAACAATTTACAGTACAGTAAAATCTGGATATACAGTAATGCTTCGAAATAAGCAAGTGGCTCGGGACCGAACAGTTGCTTATTTCGAAGCAGGTAGCTATTCGGCTTGACTTTGTTCTCGAAACGGGACGATAGAGAACGCGAGAAACGAGTGAGAGATCCGAGGTAGCGGCAAATCATAAAGTGATCAGCCGAGCAGCGATGTTATTTTTTGGACAAGGATAGAATATAACATGCCCTCTCATTCTCGCACTATGCTTTATTTCGAAGCAAATATACCAGACTGAGAAAGCATTATATATATTCCGTCCTTCTTCTACTAACCGATGTCACCGCTCAGTCGAGCGTGAAATTTATTACCCTAAACATCGGCTTCGCGCTTTCATGGACCTCTCACTCGTTTCCCGTACCTCTCACTTTGCGGGCGACTTCAAACAAAGAAGAGGGGATAGCGACTTGCTTATTTCGAAGCAGAGACCACTTGCTTATTTCGAAGCATTACTGTACATATGCAAGAGAGATGGGATCCAAGCGAGGTGTCGAATCTCGGGTTACGTGCGACGCCAGCCAAGCGTGAACGTAGAAAGCGACAGGCAGTGGAGGAGAGAGAGAGGTCAAATGATCAAACGAAAGAGCCGAAACATATCGGTGTGACTAATACTAATTCAGTTATAAAACATTTTTATTTTTGACTTTTTTTAAATGAAATTTTTACTGGCGTATTGGCCAGATTTATCTGATTAAAATGTTACCAAACACGATATAGTTTGAATTGTAATTACTTGCTAAAATTGATGTTAAAAGTAGACGAAAAGTCAGAGAGATCGAATCAAAACATTGCATACGCATATCCGAGCGAGGTGTCGAAGTTTGATCGGACGTCTTGCATTATATGTACCCAGATTTTACTGTACTGTAAATTGTTAGGAAACCGTCTCTTGTGGAAGAAATACATCGTAGAAAGGAAATAGATGAACAGCGATCACCTTTATTATAATATTCATTGTTGATCATTTATTTCATTTCGATGGCCCTTGACATATAAAAAACGGCACAAAATATCCTGGATTTTTAATATTTTTCGATCGGTTGTGTATTAGACATAATATCGAAAACATGTTGAGTTTGCTACAAACTGCTACACCCGATCCGTACAGGAGACTGGTAAAATGCTGATTACTTAAGAAAAGCAGCCCGAAAATAAATCTGTTGTCAGATTTATTAAAATTTTTTTAGACAGATAACTTAGTATATTCTTTCAGCATAGAATGTGTTATTATGCTGGATTTTCCCGATTCTCCTGAAAGTGTGCGAGGCTGGCAGAACGACACAGCTCGAGCGAGTTCTTGAATGCTGGCGAACGTAGAAAAAGACAAATAGCGAAAGAGAAAGAGGTCCGAGAATTAAAGGGCACGAAAAGAAACATTTGAGTGAGACAATATTAATTTAACCATAACTATTTTTATTTTTCATTTTTGCTAAATGAAAATTTTACCAATGTAATTGTAAGGTTCTTCTGATTAAAATAAGACCTAACACGACGTAATTTGCAATATATCTACTTATTTATTTAAAACCTAATGCAAATATATAAAGTAAGTATAATTCAAATTATGTCGTGTTTGATCTTGTTTTAATCGAAAAATTTCATCAATACGCTAGTGGAAGTTTCATTCAAAAGAAAAATCAGTCATTAGTCATTATAAAGCAACGAAGCGAAAGTGCAGCATAACTACACAGAAAACACATAAGGTTTATAGCAAGCTTAACATTTTCTATTGTATTATGGTAATCACTATATTATAGTTTTGTTTCCTTGTTGTATTATAGGAAAGTAAAATATGCAATATCGTATAAGCGTGGACCAGTTGCAATAGTTGCAAGAAACCTGATATGTATATAACAAATTAAATGAGGAATCAAGTTGTATCTAATATATCTTTCATTGTAATGACCATTCAGAGAATAAAATTATAATAGTTGTAAGGAATAAGAAATAAAACTAACAAACCGTTAAAGATTGAAATTTCTTTATATCCTTACAATTGAACCAACCAATTTTCCTCGTATGTCTTCGGATTTACGTATTGTAATAGTTAGAATAACAGTAATATCTAATTGAAGAAATTACATCTGTATCACGTACTTTTATCATATGGACGTACATACATGTGTATATATATAAAACTTAAATATTAAAAAAAATATCAAAGAAAGATGCAGTTCAACTCCTTCTTTTAACTGCTTCCCAGGTTAATGTATTTCATAGTATTAATGTATTAAAAATGTATTTTTATGTATTAAAAAAACGTTAATGCATTAAGAATCAGAACTGAAACCGTAGAATCGGGATTCGAACTGAATCTCCTGGTTTCTCACTTCTACCATATTGCCATGGACGAAATTATATTATTTTGTCGATTCGTCGATACTGCTGCCACGTGCTTTAGCGGTTTGAGCATCGAGCCGATAACGTAGAAATGACGAAAGCAGCCGAACTCTGCCAAACCCGCAGAGCTCACACGGACACGTGGGACAACGCGCTTGTGTTAGATGAAACAACTGCGGTAGGGGAATCACTGGGACGTCGTGGGACGTCGTGGAGAGGGTAAAAATTTGTCCCACGTCCCACGGTTCTGGCATCACTGCTCTCAGGCAGGAAGGCTTCGAACGCAGCGCCATCTGCGAGCTTGTGACGAAGGACAAACCGGCGGTAGGGTCGATAATAGCCAAATTCTTGATCGGGACGAACAGAGTAATATAAAGTGACGACCCGCGTTAATGAGAGAGTGAACAGTGCATTACGACGAAGTAAGCGAGTTTCTGCGCAAATAACGATTTTTCTAACAAAGGCGAACCGGATGTGTGCGTGTGGATGAGAGTAGTTGGGGGTGGGCAATGAGAATGGGAGTGTGTGTGAATGTGGTTTCTGTAAGCCAACCCAAGGGTACTGACGGATTGGGGTGTGAGTAAGGAAGCGAATGGGAAAGATGTAAACCAGTCTACGGGTATTGGTGGAGTGGGTTATGCTGGAGTGAAAGCCGCGAGCATGTATGGAGTAACAGAACAAGGGGAACTGTAGGAAAGGACGGCCGGTAGCGATGTGAGAAATCAAGAGAAACCAAATTTAACGATGGTACGAATTTATTCATTTAAAAGTCATTGGAATACATTCAATACGCGAGTAAGCGAAAAAGTAGTGTTGGTCAGGCTCGAACTCGACTCGAATACGTCGCTGACGGCGGTGCACCCTCCTTCCCCTTGGTCCTTGGTGGGATGCGATGGGATCATGGCTGAAAAGAAGAAAAGAGTACGTTAATAAAATATATAAAAGTTATGTATCGAGGTTAGATATTAGTATAGCAGAAAGGGTTACTACACCCGCTTCGATTAACCAGTTTTGCGAATAAAGAAAAGATACTATTGTACAAATGGCGGGATACAAAACTTAAAAGTAAGCAAACATGTAACAGACTAAAGACAGCGAAACTAGAAATAAAGTTATGTTCAAATTTGCGCGGAAAAAGAATTGACAGGAATGCCAACCTTGTACGCGCGTGGATGAAAGCGTTCATTGGGCAAAAAGGGGCAAAAAAGTCCATAAAGTACGCCACCCGCCACAACCGATTCTAATACTAGCCGCTGAAGTAAAAGAGTAATTAACAATAATGAAAATTTAGTTCAACAATTTATTCAAACTGATTTAATTAGTAGTTTTACAGATTTAGTAAACAGTTATAAAGAAAAATTGATAATTTATAATTGTTGGAATATTAAAATAACAAATTCAAAAATTTATTTTTACACGTTTGTATGTAATAATGATTCTGATTGTTTGACAGTTACAATACAGTGATTATTCAAGAAGGTAATAAATTATCATTTAATGATTTAAAGTGGGTACTGCCTATAGACAAGAAATTGGCTAGGTGATGATTTTCATGATCTTTCCATTGATGTAACTTGTTTTCAAGAAGTATTTGATAGTGAATACTTGTCCAATTGTGTTGTAGATGATTCAGTCATACTGTACATAGCTGGCTATAGGTCCCATGCAGTTGTTAAAAAATTAAATTGTAATATCTGTCAGTTATTAGTTGTGAAGGATAAAGGTGTAACTTTAGGATAATACATATTTTGATCACTTACAAAGAGGAGGCCTTTCTGTTTCAACTGAAGAAGTGATAGCCTCATTTATACACATGTATGCAGTAATGGAAGCCATAATAAATGATGCCGGGTAAACTGTACTTTACCGGACCCAAAATTTTGGACCTGTTTTTTTTTTATTTATAGCTTTTTTGCGTAAAATCTGAAAATGCAAGTCTCAACTTTAGGAATTCAGTGGTTAAAGTGTAAAGTTTGATATTTTTAGCGGATTTGCTACGTTACTGTGACGCCATATAACCTGATTGGTCCTCGTATAGCCTAGAATTAAATTTCCGCTTACCTTAATGAAAAACATATTATCGCCGAATTGCCTCCATCATGAATTCGCCTTCTTGCGAATTTGGCAAGCTAAGTAAATTGAATTTTAAATTTTCTATTGTTTTTATATATGTTATAATAAAATATAAATTAAAAAACAACAAACAAAATACAAGGAACTAAATAAATTGCAAACACTAAAATAGAAAATACTAAAAAATACAATAGAATACTAAATAAAAAACACTAAAATACAATATAAAACGAAAAAAGGAAAATTTGCAAGATGCTGTGCACTGTTTGAACGTTTCCACTAGCATGAACGTTGCGTTAAGTGGAACGCACCCGAAGCATCTTTAGTATCATTAAAATGGTGGAGGCTGCAGCTGTCATTACTGTCTTACAATTATTAAATAATTGTGATTTAAGTTCCGAAGAGTATGACATAAAAGAAGAAAGAAGAAAATGCGTAATACGGCCTCGTATTACACACTATGCAGAATTGCTGGTTCCGCGCTATACGGACTACGAATTCAAAAGTCATTTTAGGTTAGATTAAATTTTTTTAATACTTTTAAATTAGTTTTTAAATATATATAATATTTAATATTAAAAAAAAATGTTAATCCTTTATAAATATATGTATTATATAATTTTTAAAATAAGAATCTTCATTGCCCGATAACACTTATTTGGAATTTCGAACTAGTGACGTCCACGCTCACACCGACCCACCTCCTTAGCAGCCGCACCATCACCACGCATGCGCTGCCAGGGACGTGCACGTACAGGTAAGATCCCGATGCAGTAGTAGGAGCAGTTTTTTGCAAATATCTCGGTAAGCGTTCATTTCCTCAAAATAATATTTTCGGATCTTTACTCCCCTCGACTTCCTCTTTATAACAATATATGTCATACCCCCGTTCAATTTTGAACGCAGTTTAACTTTTTAGTCAACTTACTTTGCTTTCCATGAACGCCACCTTTGTTCCGATCAACTGAACGTATGTGTGCTATGCGTGCTAACCCAACTATATTAGTATCAAGTGATGTGATTGGTGCAGAAAGTAAGTGATCTGCATGCAGAGATGGGAAGATGATATTAGGTCTGTGCGGAACCGATTCTGTTAGAAAGGCGAGAATAGATTACAAATAAGGCGGGAAATAAAGCAAACTAACGAACAATTAAAATAAATACCAATGTCTTTGTTTTTATTCCATTTTTCAAAGTCATACAATAAATATTAACATAATCAAGGTGGAAAAGTAAGGTGAGTGACGAGGAGGACGAAGGAAGAAGGGCGGCAGGAATCACCCTGCTGTACCTCCGACTTTGATGAGAGAAACTACAATTATCGGAACCACAGCAGCCTTCCCTTGATTTTTATGAATAAAATCAATAGAACTAGATTCAAAATGAATTTTAATCAAAGAACTAATCCGCGGAAACATGTACAACATTAGTTTTTAGGCAAAGTTTTCATCGGTGCCATCTATATTTTCACGAGTATATGGGGCGGTGCCCCGGTCAGAAACTAATCTAACCTAACCAAACAACATAATATAAAACACATTTGAGTATGCGAAACGATGGCGTCTACATCGCAGAAAGTACCAGAAAAATTAAATTTAATTACAATTTATAAATAGTGTGAATCAAACCAACTCTTCAAACGCCTTCAATGATGAGGTCTAATACCAAAGGAAAGCGAATATAAGTGTCCAAAGTATGACACTGCATCATAACTAAAAGACAGAACTGGTAATTATAGGGTTAGGGTTAGGGTTAGGGTTAGGGTTGAAAGTTCTCCCGCCATTTTTGTGACTACCAAAGGGGTTAATTCATGTCCCGATCTAAAGGTCACGGCGAAAGATATATTTTCAGTCTTTACGCTTCACCGAATGTCTCCCTACAAGATTATGAGACTTCTGACGACACTCGCAATGACGATAGAATCCTGTAAGAATAAAGGACAGGGCATTATTGTAGCGGGTGATTTTAATTCTAAATCCCCTTTATGGGGTTCGAATGGCTGGTGTACTAGAGGAAAAAGATTATTTGAAATGGCCACCTCGGTTGACCTTCAACCTATTATTTCTAGAGGAGGCAATACCTGCGATCGTGGCGGAGGTTCCAAAATTGACATCATGTTCTGTAGTAAGCAAGTAGTGGAGTTGATAATAGACACCGAAGTTCTCGACATCTACTCTGCGTCGGATCATAAGTATTTAGTACACACCTTTGGAGGCCCGAGGGTGGCCAAGAGAATGCTCGGCACTTCACCATTCGACCTGAAAAAAGGAAAATTAGACGAGGAAAGATTCTTAACTTTATATCTAAAAAAATATTCCAATGAACATCAAGGAACGCTCACTAGACGTAATTCTACTTTAGACATCGATGAGTTCATAAATAATATAAATAAAATGATCAAGAGGCCCACCCGTACCATGGTGGAATGAGGAAGTGGCACAAAAACGTAAGGAAGCCCAGATGGCAAGAAGAGCATATACCAGAGAGAGAAGGAAACGTGCAAATGTCCAGGAATTTGAGTTTGAGTTACAGGAGTATAAAAAACAAAAGACCGAGCAGAATGCGGCAATTAAAAAGGCGAAGCGTGAAAGCTGGTAGTTTCCTACAGGACGTGGACAAGAATATCTGGGGTAAACCGTATAAAGCAATTATGAAAGCGGTTAAGGGTAAAACTACCCCTGAGACCCTTACTTCTGATAAATTTAGAACAGTGGTTGAAAAGCTGTTTATGCTCCACCCTCAAGATATAGAAAATACTCCAGCAGAGGAAAATACAGAAATAATAAATGACAGAAGGAACATTACCGGAAACAACTCATATTTCAGAAGAAGAGGTCCACAGGGCGGCGACCCGTCTGGCCCCCAAAAAGGCTCCTGGATCGGATGGTTTGACGTCACGGGTGGCCAGAGTAATTGGCATTATCTTCAATGTCTGCTTCACCCACGGGTATTAGCCTAAACCCTGGAAGACAGGGAGACTCGTGTTGTTACCTAAGAGCAAATCATCGTCGGTTAACCAAGAAAAAGCGTATAGACCTTTGTCTGTTATCTCATGCGTGGCTAAAATGCTGGAATATATTAAAGATAAGATCCTGAAAGCACATACGAACTATGACTTCGCCCAAAACCAGTATGGGTTTCGTAAGGGCCGCTCAACCTTGGATGCGATGCGAGAGATTACTATATACAGAACGAGAACCAGAAATGACGGCCATCATTGCCTTCTGATCATGTTGGACGTCAAAAACGCTTTCAGTACGGTTAGATGGTCCAGCATAATTACATGCCTAAAGGAGCGGAAATTTCCCAGATTATTAGTGAATATGATCGAAAATTATTTAAATAATAGGTGGATCTTATACGAGGTCGAGGATGAATATTCGCGTTTCCAAGTTTTCGGGGGTGTGCCCCAGGGGTCAGTGATTGGCCCCCTACTTTGGAACATCGTATACGATGGACTGTTAAGAATGCATATTAGAAAAAATGTCTTCTTGATAGGCAATGCAGACGATATTGGCATCATAGTAATTGGTGAATTACTGAGCCGTTTGATCAGGATTGCGGAAGAAACCTTGATGAAGATGGCGGTGTGGTATGCTGGCGAAGGTTTATCGTTGGCGCACCACAAAACAGAAGCAATTTTGCTCTCTGAAAAGAAAGTGCCAAATATAATTAAATTTAAAGGTGGTGACGCGGATATAACGATAAATCAAGAGGCTAGATATCTGGGGGTGATCCTACGAAAAAATTTGTCATACAAAACCCATATATGCACAGCTTGTAATAAAGCTATGAAATATGCCAATGCGTTGTCGCTCTTGTTACCCAACACCTACGGCGCAGGAAATCTACCTAGGAAGTTGTACTACAAGGTCATTGGCCCACCTCCCACTCTAATTCCGTAACCCACCGAAAAACCCTTCCCTCACCTTACCCCTTTTTCCCTGCCCGCCGGTATCGGGCCGATGGAGGCGACGGAAAGGACCCCAGAAGTGGACAACCCCAAGAGGAGCTTCGGGACTGGCGACAGACCCCCAACCCCTCCCAGGAAAGGGAGCAACAACGGATCCCGGGATGAAATGTCCACCCAGCTCATACAACAGCAGCAAAAGAGAGCCCAGCTGGAGCCATCTGTCGCCGAGCCCGAAGACAACAGCCCGAAGCCGTCACTGTCAAGGATCCGTCAGCCCCATCGATCCCGATTACCGGCCGATCAATAATAGATCAATCTCAGGCCCGGGAGATGTCCCAAATCCCCATCCATCCCCTTCCCAAAATTCCCTACGACGGACTGGTCGCTTTGCGTTACGGAGTACCATTAAGCGATCATTGCATTTAGCGAGCGATATAAATTTTATTGCGCGATTCGGCATAGCTTGTATGTTAATCGAGTTTGATCGGTCCAGACCAGTTGCAATATAAATGACATAAGTTGTGAAGTTCTCTTTCTGAGGAAACCATATAACCTAAGGAAATTGCAAACGAATGTTGTTAAAAAGTGATTCAGAAAGCATATTGAGAGCGATACTACGAGTTTTTGTAAGACGAGTAGTGTTTGTGTAAGTGCAACAGGTGCAGCACCGGTGAGTCGCTTACTGTAATATTGCTCAAAATTGTATCTTCTGAGTCAAGCACGGTAATTTCTCGTCCGCGGTCGTTCCGCCCGCGACCGGCATTTTCGCGATGTGTTATTTTTACGTGTGTATATGTAGCTAATAAATGAAACTACCTGCAGGCGACGTTTGAAGAAGGCAGCGTACCTCGCGGTAGGTCAGGGCACCTGTACCGTAGACGATGCAGGTACCAGCTCTTACGAAATGCTGCGTCACTCTCCTGCTGCGAATGATTTTTCTACTGTGGAAGCGTATGCAGAAAACGTGGAAGAAATTGATTCTGATTTAGAAGATTACGCATTGATAGAAACAGCAGAACCACCGTAGTTAGAAGAAAAACCAGTTTCTAACGGGATAGATTTCGTCGATTTTCAACATGTTTTCAAGCAAATAATACAGCTTGGAAAACATTCGAGTATCGGCTGTGGCGTCGAACACTTCCAAATAATTAGATGTCAACAAAACGGACTGGAAAAAAAGTATAAAGTTCAGTGCCAAATGTGTAATCACGTCGAGTGTGTATCGTGCCTTCAGAACAGTGATAACACAATGGACATTAACCGAAGCGCTGTTTCCGGTACAATGATGACAGTCGGCGGATACAATCAACTAGAAGAAATACTTTCTGGCATGAACGTGTCGTGCATGAGCAAGAGAATCTACGAAAAATGCCAAGATAAAATAATCGATGCCTTCGAATTGGCTGCGCAACGAGAAATAGAAGACGCAGGGAAATTAGAAAAAGTGCTAGCCATAGTAAGAAGGCGATATACTTCCAGGCTGTAATATACCATGCATTCCAGTTGTCGCAGATGGCAATTGGATGAAGAGATCATACCGTGGAGGTGATTACAACTCTCTGTCTGGTGTAGGAGCCATCGTGGGATACCACACCAAAAAGGTGCTTCACATCAACGTAAAAAATAAATTTTGCATAATTTGCCAAACCGCTGCCAAAAAGAAGCAAGAGGCATGGCAGCGTCGTTGCTTCAAAAATTGGGGTCGTAACCAGAATTCAACTGGTATGGAAAGTGTTGCTATTGTAGACGGATTTAAATGCAGCATAGAAATGCACGGCCTGATATATTCAATATTAGTTGCCGATGGAGATAGCAGTGTGTACAAGAAGATATTGGACAATGATCCATACAAAGAGTATATGGTGCATGTACGAAAAATTGAATGCACCAATCACCTATTACGTAACATTAGTAGAAAAATAAATGAGATCACTACAAAAGGCCGCTTCAAGGAACTATGAGCTATTGTAAAAGAGAATGCCCTTCGCCTGCGCACTGGTGTGAAGAAAGCTGCAGAATACCGATTCAAAGAGAAAGTAACACTCGCTGATCAAATAAAAAATTTAAAAACAGATATGAAAAATGTAGCAAGCCATGTTTTCGATGAACATCAGGAGTGTCAAAGATTAGCATACTTCTGCAACAAATACTCTGACCCGAACATAGTGAACTATGTTCCACAATTGAAAGAATGTGGTATTTATCAAAGCATTGAAGAAGCGATGCAACCACTCTTTCCTCAAGCTGAAAGCTTGTTATATGGTTTAAATAATAATGCAGTGGAAAAGTTTCAATAACATCATTGCGAAATTCATCGGTGGCAAAAGAATAAACTTTGGACGCAAGGGCTCGTATCAGGGTAGAGTCTCTGCTGCTGTCCTTCATTTCAATTCAAGAGAGTCGTTCAGCCGATTGAGTACTGCTATGAACAAGGAACCGACAGCCATCGTACAAAATATGGAACAACGACGTAAGCATGCATCGCAAATGACAGCGAAATATAAGGAAAAAGCCAAAGCATCTCGATACGAAAAGCAATCGTGCGACAAAGATTACGGCCCCACGGCAGAAAAACCAGACATGGAAGAAGCAGTATTCTCTTCTGAGTGTGAGAGGCATATGCTTACACTCCTTCAGTGGCCAAACGATGCGACATAACATTGAAGCAGAAACTCGCGATCAGGCCAAGAGCGAAAAATGGATAGCCTAAGGTAAAAAATTATTAACTGCATCACATTTCGGCAAGGTATGCCGATTGAGACAGAATACACCAAGAGCAAATACCATAAAGAGTATAATGTATCCGCAAATTCAATATTTGCGTTCCCTTGAATATGGAAGAGAAAACGAGGCAAATGCCTTGAGACAATTGGAAACGGAACTGGGAATCCATATTCTACCGTATGGTCCATTCATCGATGCCATTGTGCCTTATTTAGGTGCAACTCCTGACGGCCTCGTGGACGATGATACTATCGTCGAAGTGAAATGCCCTGAATCGGCGAAGGATTTATCGCCTGCTGAAGCAATAGAGCAACTTCCTGCAATACGGCGTATTTTCCGGGGTGATGAAATGAATAAAATTCATCATTACTATTATCAAGTGCAAGGACAGTTACACATAACGAATAGGCAAACTGCTTTATTCTGTTTATGGACAAAGAAAGGAATAAAAATTACAAAAGTACAAAGAGACGACAAACTCTGGGCAGCAGAAATGGAGCATAAACTGAAAAGGTTTTATGAGGACTCCATGTTGCCAGAAATTATAGACAGTAGATTTAATCGGCAGCAACCTATCAGAGAGCCTGCATACATAAAACAGAGCAACAATACATGTAGCAGTACACAAGAAAGTACATGTGACGATGTACATACCAACAAGTGCACACAGTTCATATGATGAGGTGTATAATAAACGATTGCAATCTAAGGTCGCAATGCACCTGCGGGTGCACACAGTTCATATGATGAGCTGTTCTATAGCCCAGGCCTGTCCAAGTAGGGGAACCCACTCCTAGAACACATGTTTTGGGTCCCCTTCCAACGCTGCTCCTTCAAGTAAGATGGGACGGTTCCGACTACCGTCTCTCCGTCTTTCCTAGCGGCGGTACTGTCTCCTCGGAGAAATGGTAGTCGGAACCGTCCCATCTTACTTGAAGGAGCAGCGTTGGAAGGGGGCCCAAAACATGTGTTCCAGGAGTAAATTCCCCTACTTGGACAGGCCTGCTATAGCCTATTGCGACTGCACCGTTGAGTACCCACAGCTCATATGATGAGCTGTTCTACAGTCTATTGCAACTGCACTCGGCGGTGCACACACCACACATGATGAGGTGTATAATAAACGATTACAATCTAAGGTCGCAATGCTGAGTAACGCGTTTTTATTGTAAATACTTATTATTCGACTGGATCAGTGAGTGAGTGTCTCAAACTTTTTTGTACTTATACCAGTGGAACAGTGCCATTGAAATCATATGTATTTCAATTAATAAACTTTGAAGTTACTGGTAGCGTCCATAATCAGCACAGGGGTGGGAATGAGTGAGGGAATCATTGAAAATGTTAAAAGTCATTTATTGCAGTCCCCGTCGAAATCTTTAAGATGACTATCGCAGGAATTGAATCTTCCGTATACGTCGTGCCAACGCTCTGCAAAAAAGACACAGTTGTATCCCAATCGCGTATCGGCAGTGCATGAATTGTTACCACAGGACCATGAAAAGCGTATACAGTTTTGTACGTGGTTTAAAAATTTTATCGAGGACCAACCACATATTTTGGACCTTACGTGGTTCACAGATGAAGCCTGGTTTCACTTGAGCGGGTACATGAATTCTCAAAATACTCGGAGATGGGCGATAGAAAATCCGCATGAAATATTTAGTACCCCACTACATTCTCAAAAAATCGGGGTGCGGTGTGCGATATCGCGAAGAAGAATAATTGGCCCTATATTTTTCGATGGGACTGTTATATCGGAAGTGTACGTAAGGTCCATTTTTTAAAAATTCGTGGACCAATTAACGGAGGGTTCCAGCAAAACGAGGCAACATGCCATACTTCAAGTAACAGTATGGAAGAAATTGAAAGTTATTTTGACACAAGAATAATTTCCAAAAATTTGATGCCATCCATAGTGTAGATGTTGATGACAATTCTTCTTCCTCTTCTTTTTCTTCTTCTTCAGTGTTGTTTAGTTCTGAAGCGGTTCCTGAAACTTCATTTCAGGAAAGTTTGGCTTCATATTGTGTTGATAACAATATTAATCATGTTCAGGGTAACAATTTATTTACCCTCCTTCGAACCCGTAGCTGCTTTAGCCATATACCCAAGGATATTAGGACTGTTGTAGGTACTCCACGAACTCGTGTTCCAACATATGTTGTAGAACCGGGGGAGTATGTTCATTTTAGTGTGGAGTAATATGAAGGCTGCTCAAAGAACCGCGATAATGAGGGAAAGACAAGGAGGAGGACCTGCAGAACCGGGAGCAGAAATAAATCCAGAAATAGCAGAGATCGTGCCATCGTTGATGAAAAATGCGCCTCCGAAAATCAGAATTTTGGGCGAAATTCAGATGGGTACGAGGAAGGAGGCAAACAGGGTAATCGTATATGGCAGAAACAAGGAAGCTGGATACGAGGCATATGTGCCCAAAAGAAAGAGAACGAGACGTGGAGTAACTAAAGAAGAGCAAATGAGGATGGCTAGCAGGGAGGGGAGAATTAAATCCCTAAAAATGCTCCGAAAATTGATATATATGAGGGCTACAACCATGAGCAGGAGGAGAGGACGAAGAGAATAACAAGCAGGATTAGATGAGAGAATTACAAAATGCTAGACGATATAAAAAACAAAACAGATAACGAAATATGGGAACAAATTATCACATTGATCAAAAAAAGAAACCTCTTCAATAACTTCGAGGAAAAGATGTAAAAGGAGAGACAATGGAGAGATAGTGCATATCCAGAGGATCCAAACCAGGACTGGTGGGGAAACGGACCACACTTCGAGATGATAATCCCAGAAAAACAGGCCAAACTCTTTGCGAAACAGAAGGAGAGAAGAGAAGAAATAAGGAAGTGGAACGAGGAAAGGAAAATGGATATTCAGGAGACTACATCAAAAAGGGATGAGAGGAAGGAAGAGGAGGAAAGACCTGACACCCCCCACCCCCACCCCCCCCTCCTGTCCTTGAGAGGGAGGTACAAACAATAGAAATAGAGATCGAAGCTACTACGTCAGAACCCAATAGAAATGAAGAAGAAAAGGATAAGAATATATATATGCATTTGGTATGCTTGGGCGTCATGAAAAAAATATTATTTGCATGGATATGCGGAAAATATTCACGTTTGTCCAAATTATCAGGTAGTCATCTTGCTCGTATGTCTGCAAGACTGGATAGACTCAGACAATGTTGTCCCTCTGATTTTGGAAGACACCCAAGATCTCTGGTGTATTATTCCAAATATAAAGCAACAGAGTTTCGGAAATTTCTTTTATATACAGGTCTGGTTGTGGCGTATGGTCTCCTCAATGATAACCTATATACATATTCATTTCTTGTTCCTTCACACAGGTATTAGAATTTTAGCTTCACAATCTCCGTCGACTCAGTTTTTGAATTTTGCAGAGCTTGTTCTGCAAAAATTTGTTCTTCGTACCGAAGAGTTGTACGGTCCAAATTTTTGTACATAAAGGATTTTTGACAGTATGTTGCTGTGACGTTTCAGGTGGCAGCACTGTCATTCTTCGACGATTGTGTTGTCATAGTTAGCATTTTACCATGGAGCGCTACGAAATATTTATGGCCGAAATGATCGTTCAACCGGGCGATCAATTCAACGAATTATCGCGAAATTCGAGCAAAGCTGTTTGCTGAAATTCTGTTGCTGAAAGTATGGCTGAAGAACCAAACCCCTCGATTCCTCGTCGTGCACAAGCAGTTGGCCTTTCTGTGACCTCAACTTGGCGAATTTTACGAAAAGACTTGGGCATGCATCCATATAAGATCCAATTGACACAAGAACTGAAGCCCCAAGACCACCACGCTCGTCGTACGTTTGCTGATTGGGCTCTGCAGCAGTTGTTAACCGATCCAAATTTTGGTGAAAAAATCATCTTCAGGGATGAAGCATATTTTTGGTTGAACGGCTTCGTGAACAGGCAAAATTGCCGCATTTGGGGAGAGAGTAATCCACAACAGTATCAAGAGTCTCCCCATTGCATCCAGAGAAACTTTGTTCCGGCAAATTTCGTCGCGGCGTGTTTCCCGCGATTGGAAATCTTTAGGAAAATAAGCGAGGTGCCGGATCGCGTTTACCGAAGCGCAGGAGTCTTGGAAAAGCGGAAGCAATGAACTTCACAGCAACTTGTTGCGTAGTTTTAGCAAAAACTCGTTTTATTTAATAAATTAACAGTTAGTCTTAGGAATAAAAAGTTTATATTTCAATCCTCTATTCACTAAATTAATCCGCGTTATTGGGGTTCGCCGAAGCACTTGGTTCGAGCGAAGCGCCAGAAAAAGAAAAAAGGAGAGATTTGCGGATCTGAATTCTCCGAAAAGCGTTCGCGAGATAAGAGTGAGCCCCGTCTCAGAGCGACGACAGGCTCGCACCTCTCCCTCTCCCTCCCGGCGTCCTCGCCCCACACCGCTGGCCAACGGCGTGAGAGAGATGGGCGCCGATGAGAGAGGGATGGCAATACGACAGAAGTCAGTCGCGTTAGACATTGGGGAAACAGTTCGCTCGAACATACCGCCCGCCTTCTTCGGTGATACGAAGAATGGTTGACGTGAATCAAGGCAAATAACCTCTAGAGTTTTACTAGTACAAACCATAAGTGCTTACACGCTAGTTACAAAGGTAAACTAATTAATAATAATTTTAATACAAAGCAATCAAGTAAAGCAAAGTGAATAAAGAGTAAATATAAAATAACAAATAGCAATTAGAATAGTAAACTAGACCAACCAAAGTAAAGCAAAAGAATTACGCGGAAAATTTCGGTCGTAGTTTACAAAGAGAAAAAGAAAAAGGAAGTTAAAGTTAAAGTATCTTAGCTGGTATCGATGCTAAGAGGCGTCGGTTGGCGATACTGGTAAGGGGCACAGCTTGACGATTGGCCTCTTAACAGTGCCCTTTTCAGTGCGTAGAGTTACCACTCTAACGCATCCATCAGGTCCTGGGCGCTTATCCGGGACGACTTACAGCCACCAGCAAAGTGGTTGATGGGACGCGTCACCGAACTACACCCAGGACCTGATGGATGCGTTAGAGTGGTAACTCTACGCACTGAAAAGGGCACTGTTAAGAGGCCAATCGTCAAGCTGTGCCCCTTACCAGTATCGCCAACCGACGCCTCTTAGCATCGATACCAGCTAAGATACTTTAACTTTAACTCGAGTTGCAGGAGAAGAATTCTCCTTTTCCTTCTACTTCCTTCTCATCCGTACAGATCCGACTTGTGATGGCAAGCGAAGCGGACAGACTAGCCTATCTGGACTACCTCGAAAGGGTAAAAGCGGGAGTCAGCGTGCCTATCAGGCCCGGTGCTCCCACTGCTCTAGAATGGCGAGATTCCGATCTTGCTACCATCTGCGACAAATTGACTTTTCCGGAAAGAGTCAGAACAACAGCCTCTATGAAATCTTGTCTTATTAGGTTTTATAACTTTTACTTTTATGGACGTCTTCCTAATCATTCGTCCCCTCACCAGATCATCTTTCCCATTCTCTGTTACCTGCCTCTTGACTTCAGGATGGAGACAGGAATAAATTTCTTTTTCCCAGACAATTTAATTGGGCCGAATTCCTTCTTTGCCCTCCCGACTGGCGATGAGGCCACATTGGAACTTGAGGACGCTGAGTTCACTCCCAGCATTTACATCGTCGAGGACCTACCTGATCCTACTAGGCGGGATGATATCGCTAGGTTATTTGTGACTTTAGAGACCCCACAGATAAAAGCCTTCAAAAAAGAGATTACCCGTCTTGTTAATAAATTTGATCCGGATAATTACACTCTGGATGATATGAAAATCTTAAGATTGTCATCCTACCTTGCTCTACTGCTCTGCAGATCGTTCGCCAAGGACTCGAAGCAGATGTCTCGAGCAATGAGCAAGAAAGCTGTGCTCGAACACCTGACAAAATTGGTCGCGTGGCCTGTTGGAGATGGATATGCTCCTCCCTGCAAAGTGTGCATAGATAGTTCTGTGCAGGGTTTAGATAAGGGGCTTAAACACTCCCAGGACATGATGGCGTTGATCCTACACACCTGGATCAAACATATGGTAGCTAAACACTGTCCAATTTCTAGTGTCCTGCAGGCGGGCATGTTGACCCACCTCGCAGGCAATGGCATGGGTTTAATCATCCTCATGATGGGTGCTTGTGAAACCTTGGGATGCACCTACGGAGCTCTCCTTGACAACACTATGACAGTAAAAACTAATTAATAATAATTTTAATACAAAGCAATCAAGTAAAGCAAAGTGAATAAAGAGTAAATATAAAATAACAAATAGCAATTAGAATAGTAAACTAGACCAACCAAAGTAAAGCAAAAGAATTACGCGGAAAATTTCGGTCGTAGTTTACAAAGAGAAAAAGAAAAAGGAAGTTAAAGTTAAAGTATCTTAGCTGGTATCGATGCTAAGAGGCGTCGGTTGGCGATACTGGTAAGGGGCACAGCTTGACGATTGGCCTCTTAACAGTGCCCTTTTCAGTGCGTAGAGTTACCACTCTAACGCATCCATCAGGTCCTGGGCGCTTATCCGGGACGACTTACAGCCACCAGCAAAGTGGTTGATGGGACGCGTCACCGAACTACACCCAGGACCTGATGGATGCGTTAGAGTGGTAACTCTACGCACTGAAAAGGGCACTGTTAAGAGGCCAATCGTCAAGCTGTGCCCCTTACCAGTATCGCCAACCGACGCCTCTTAGCATCGATACCAGCTAAGATACTTTAACTTTAACTCGAGTTGCAGGAGAAGAATTCTCCTTTTCCTTCTACTTCCTTCTCATCCGTACAGATCCGACTTGTGATGGCAAGCGAAGCGGACAGACTAGCCTATCTGGACTACCTCGAAAGGGTAAAAGCGGGAGTCAGCGTGCCTATCAGGCCCGGTGCTCCCACTGCTCTAGAATGGCGAGATTCCGATCTTGCTACCATCTGCGACAAATTGACTTTTCCGGAAAGAGTCAGAACAACAGCCTCTATGAAATCTTGTCTTATTAGGTTTTATAACTTTTACTTTTATGGACGTCTTCCTAATCATTCGTCCCCTCACCAGATCATCTTTCCCATTCTCTGTTACCTGCCTCTTGACTTCAGGATGGAGACAGGAATAAATTTCTTTTTCCCAGACAATTTAATTGGGCCGAATTCCTTCTTTGCCCTCCCGACTGGCGATGAGGCCACATTGGAACTTGAGGACGCTGAGTTCACTCCCAGCATTTACATCGTCGAGGACCTACCTGATCCTACTAGGCGGGATGATATCGCTAGGTTATTTGTGACTTTAGAGACCCCACAGATAAAAGCCTTCAAAAAAGAGATTACCCGTCTTGTTAATAAATTTGATCCGGATAATTACACTCTGGATGATATGAAAATCTTAAGATTGTCATCCTACCTTGCTCTACTGCTCTGCAGATCGTTCGCCAAGGACTCGAAGCAGATGTCTCGAGCAATGAGCAAGAAAGCTGTGCTCGAACACCTGACAAAATTGGTCGCGTGGCCTGTTGGAGATGGATATGCTCCTCCCTGCAAAGTGTGCATAGATAGTTCTGTGCAGGGTTTAGATAAGGGGCTTAAACACTCCCAGGACATGATGGCGTTGATCCTACACACCTGGATCAAACATATGGTAGCTAAACACTGTCCAATTTCTAGTGTCCTGCAGGCGGGCATGTTGACCCACCTCGCAGGCAATGGCATGGGTTTAATCATCCTCATGATGGGTGCTTGTGAAACCTTGGGATGCACCTACGGAGCTCTCCTTGACAACACTATGACAGTAAAAACTAATTAATAATAATTTTAATACAAAGCAATCAAGTAAAGCAAAGTGAATAAAGAGTAAATATAAAATAACAAATAGCAATTAGAATAGTAAACTAGACCAACCAAAGTAAAGCAAAAGAATTACGCGGAAAATTTCGGTCGTAGTTTACAAAGAGAAAAAGAAAAAGGAAGTTAAAGTTAAAGTATCTTAGCTGGTATCGATGCTAAGAGGCGTCGGTTGGCGATACTGGTAAGGGGCACAGCTTGACGATTGGCCTCTTAACAGTGCCCTTTTCAGTGCGTAGAGTTACCACTCTAACGCATCCATCAGGTCCTGGGCGCTTATCCGGGACGACTTACAGCCACCAGCAAAGTGGTTGATGGGACGCGTCACCGAACTACACCCAGGACCTGATGGATGCGTTAGAGTGGTAACTCTACGCACTGAAAAGGGCACTGTTAAGAGGCCAATCGTCAAGCTGTGCCCCTTACCAGTATCGCCAACCGACGCCTCTTAGCATCGATACCAGCTAAGATACTTTAACTTTAACTCGAGTTGCAGGAGAAGAATTCTCCTTTTCCTTCTACTTCCTTCTCATCCGTACAGATCCGACTTGTGATGGCAAGCGAAGCGGACAGACTAGCCTATCTGGACTACCTCGAAAGGGTAAAAGCGGGAGTCAGCGTGCCTATCAGGCCCGGTGCTCCCACTGCTCTAGAATGGCGAGATTCCGATCTTGCTACCATCTGCGACAAATTGACTTTTCCGGAAAGAGTCAGAACAACAGCCTCTATGAAATCTTGTCTTATTAGGTTTTATAACTTTTACTTTTATGGACGTCTTCCTAATCATTCGTCCCCTCACCAGATCATCTTTCCCATTCTCTGTTACCTGCCTCTTGACTTCAGGATGGAGACAGGAATAAATTTCTTTTTCCCAGACAATTTAATTGGGCCGAATTCCTTCTTTGCCCTCCCGACTGGCGATGAGGCCACATTGGAACTTGAGGACGCTGAGTTCACTCCCAGCATTTACATCGTCGAGGACCTACCTGATCCTACTAGGCGGGATGATATCGCTAGGTTATTTGTGACTTTAGAGACCCCACAGATAAAAGCCTTCAAAAAAGAGATTACCCGTCTTGTTAATAAATTTGATCCGGATAATTACACTCTGGATGATATGAAAATCTTAAGATTGTCATCCTACCTTGCTCTACTGCTCTGCAGATCGTTCGCCAAGGACTCGAAGCAGATGTCTCGAGCAATGAGCAAGAAAGCTGTGCTCGAACACCTGACAAAATTGGTCGCGTGGCCTGTTGGAGATGGATATGCTCCTCCCTGCAAAGTGTGCATAGATAGTTCTGTGCAGGGTTTAGATAAGGGGCTTAAACACTCCCAGGACATGATGGCGTTGATCCTACACACCTGGATCAAACATATGGTAGCTAAACACTGTCCAATTTCTAGTGTCCTGCAGGCGGGCATGTTGACCCACCTCGCAGGCAATGGCATGGGTTTAATCATCCTCATGATGGGTGCTTGTGAAACCTTGGGATGCACCTACGGAGCTCTCCTTGACAACACTATGACAGTAAAAACTAATTAATAATAATTTTAATACAAAGCAATCAAGTAAAGCAAAGTGAATAAAGAGTAAATATAAAATAACAAATAGCAATTAGAATAGTAAACTAGACCAACCAAAGTAAAGCAAAAGAATTACGCGGAAAATTTCGGTCGTAGTTTACAAAGAGAAAAAGAAAAAGGAAGTTAAAGTTAAAGTATCTTAGCTGGTATCGATGCTAAGAGGCGTCGGTTGGCGATACTGGTAAGGGGCACAGCTTGACGATTGGCCTCTTAACAGTGCCCTTTTCAGTGCGTAGAGTTACCACTCTAACGCATCCATCAGGTCCTGGGTGTAGTTCGGTGACGCGTCCCATCAACCACTTTGCTGGTGGCTGTAAGTCGTCCCGGATAAGCGCCAGGCTGCCGATTTCCAAATTCTCCCGGTAACGACGCCACTTCGGAAACTGTTGGAGATGCTGTAAGTATTCGCGTCTCCATCTTTTCCAGAATTGTGCTCGCATTTGTGAGATTAACCGCCAGCGTGTGTGAAGTGCAGTGCATGGTTCTTCTGGCTCTGGGGGGACGGTGGTTGGTTCCCCTATCAAGAAGTGACCCGGTGTCAAGGCGGCCAGCTCCGAAGGGTCCTCTGATAGTGCGTACAGTGGCCTCGAGTTTAGGCACGCCTCTATTTGACAGAGGAGAGTCGTCAGTTCCTCGAAGGTAAGTGTGGAATCACCGATCACTCTCCGTAGATGGTGCTTTACGGATTTTACCCCTGCCTCCCACAGGCCACCAAAATGCGGCGCATAAGGGGGAATGAACTGCCAGCTGGTGCCGTCTAATGCCAGGGATGCGGCTGCCTCCTGGTAGAATAAAGTAGACTGGCGGAACATAGCGCGGAGCTCTCTGTCTGCTCCCTGGAATACCGTTCCATTGTCGCTAAACAGAGTGGCGCAATGTCCTCGCCTGCCCACAAAGCGACGGAAGGCTGCAAGAAAGGAAGCTGAGGTTAGATCTGACACCGCTTCCAAATGTATTGCCCTGGTAGACAGGCACACGAAGAGGGCGATGTAGCCTTTGTAGGCTTTGTGGCCACGCCCGGGCGAGGTACGTAGCTTAATCGGGCCCGCATAATCCACGCCGGTGGTTAAAAAGGCCCTCTGTGCTGCAGTGCGCTCTTGTGGAAGTTGTCCCATCAGTTGTCCAGCTCTACGTCCGCTAAACCGGGCGCACGTGACGCAGGCGGCGATTTCGGATCGAACCAGTGAGCGGCCTCGGACGATCCAGACTCTTCTCATGAGATGGCTGCGAGTAAGCTGTGGACCTCCATGGAGCGTGCGGTAATGTGCGTCCCGTATCAGAAGCCTGGCCAACGGACATCTCTTCGACACAAGGTAAGGATGTTTCTCATTGTACGGCAGAGCCGCGTTTTCTAAGCGCCCTCCGAGCCTTAGCAAGCCCTGGTCGTCTAAGAAAGGTCGACACGGAGAAAGGGGTGAAGCTTTGCGTAGCTCGCCGTGCCGTTGCAGTTGTTCAATCTCCTCCAGGAAACTGGTGTGTTGAGAGAATCTCAGAACTGCTAGGAAGGCGTGGGTGCGCTCCGCTGCTTTAACAAAACCCTTCTCGCAAGGCTGCCCTCGGCTTAGACTGGCAAACCTGAAACACTGGGCAATAACAGATAAAAGGTGCGAGAGGGAGGAGAAGCGGCACAGGAAATTTTCTCCGAATTTCTCCTTGACGACGTGTACCGTGGCTCCTCTTCTCTCTGCCTCTATTCCCTCGTTGGACTCCGGAAAGGTCGCCGGCCAGAATTCAGGCTGTTCCGTCAACCATTTCGGCCCGTGCCACCACAGAAAAAAGGAGAGATTTGCGGATCTGAATTCTCCGAAAAGCGTTCGCGAGATAAGAGTGAGCCCCGTCTCAGAGCGACGACAGGCTCGCACCTCTCCCTCTCCCTCCCGGCGTCCTCGCCCCACACCGCTGGCCAACGGCGTGAGAGAGATGGGCGCCGATGAGAGAGGGATGGCAATACGACAGAAGTCAGTCGCGTTAGACATTGGGGAAACAGTTCGCTCGAACAAACTTACTGTTTGGTGTGGATTTTGGTCAGGCGGCGTCATTGGGCCGTACATCTTCCGCAACGAGAATGGCCAGACGGTAACTGTTAATGGCGAACGGTATTGTGCCATTATATATAGAGAAATCGTGCATCCCTATATATGGAACCTCTATACCAAAGTTATCGCGCATTTTGTACTTTATACACTGATAGACAGTAGCATCAAGTGCAATTTAAGTAAGTCATAGCTACAGACGACGTGTGCTCTATTTTTAGAGCCTTAGTTCTAGCTAGATGTAAGTGTTAATTTTTGTACGTTAAGTTTATTTTGTAATATTGATATTGTTATTTTTGCACAATAAACGTACATTAAAAAAAAAAAAAAAAAAGAAAAAAAAACGGTATCGTGCCATGATAACTGACTTTTTGTGGCCTCAATTAGATGACTTGGACCTGGATAACATGTGGTTCCAACAAGATGGCGCAACGTGTCACACAGCGGGCGTTACGTTGGAGTTGTTGCAAGAAAAGTTTCCAGGAAGGGTGATGTGGAATGGCCGCCAAGATCGTGCGATTTAACCCCCTTAGACTTTTTTCTCTGGGGCTACGTTAAGTCGCTGGTTTATGGTAACAAACCAACAACTGACCAATTGGAGAACAACATCATTCAAACCATTGGGGAGATCCAGCCCGACTTATGCAACAGAGTCATGCAAAATTGGACCTCTCGGATCGAGTCCTGTAAACGAAGCCGCGGAGGCCATTTTTAAAACATAATGGTATTGAACGTACTTTAATCCGCAATAAAGGTTTCCGTTATATATCGCACATAACACTTTTTATTCAATTTTGAAGTTCAGACACGCTTAATGAAAAACCCTTTATAATGTACATGGTCTTCTGCATTTGACTAATGATGTAAGACGTCTTGGTCCCTTAGATTCCTTTTCTGCTCTCCCTTATGAAAGCAACATGCGCATTTTTAGGAAGTATTGTAGAAAGCCGGGCCTACCTCTTCAACAATTCGTGAATAGAATGGCGGAGATTCAGGCACACGGAGAAAATAGAGCGAGGGTCGTTCCGTCTTCTGATATTCAAGTATCTGTGCCTCTTGGTTGCGATACTGATATCCTCCAGTATCGTAGGATACAATTTAATGGCATGTCCTTCACTATTGATGTACGCGATAATTGCTGCATCTTGCGCGATGGTGCCATATGTATTCTGTCCTCCATTGCCGAGCATAGAAATACATTCCGTTTAGGTGTCCAAAAATTCACTGAGGTCGGTGATATTTTTGATATCGGAATAAAATCCTCTGCTGTAGGTTTGTATAAACGTAGATATTTGAGCCCCGAGTCCACATGATATTTGTTCCAAGTGTTTCCGAATGCCGTTTCCTGGTGACAACATGGACGACAATGAAGTGGAAGAACAAGAAAGAAGAGAATACGCCATGGCTGTGATGTTACCGAATAACCACGCCCACTAACGTCATGCACGCGGAGGAGGGAATAATGGACCTGGAGACGAGATTCGACTACCTGACGAAAAAGTACATCCTAAAGAAGATAAAAGGGAACCAACCGCACTTTGTGGGGTGGATGCTGCGATGCTGGGAGAGCGCGGGAAGGGTCCCGGTCCCCGCTAGCTGCGGATCTTCGAGTTTGTTAGTCAGTTACATATATTTAGAATGTTAAAAATAGTATTAAAAGATAAAAATAGTCATGAAATACCGGACTTTGAAACTATAATTGATATAGCGCGCAGATTGGAATCAGAGGCGGTTGAAGGTCAAGGAGCATCCCCATCACCCCCATTACCCCCATCTCCACAGCCTCTTATAGGAAGTGCCAAAGTTTGTAAGGTAGAGGAGTCTGATGATTGTCGATGTTTTCGATGTAACAAAGTGGGACATTTGAAACATTCTCGTAAATTAAGAACTTTAATGGCACGTTTACAGAACATAGGTTTAGCTTTGCAACCTGAAAAGTGTAGATTCTCTAAACAGAGATTTGGATAGGCGATACCAAAGCACCCCGCTCCAGAGTCCGTCGGAGGTCGTCCATGTGGGTTCTCAGGCTGTGGTTGATCTGCGGATCCCTGAACTGAGACCCGTTTTGTGTTTTGCCGAAGGGGATAAATGTAATTTGGGTCTCGGGTGGATGGTCCGTAGTTAACGGATAAACAAAACAAAAAGCACCTCGCTTTTGGTCACTAACTCGAGGCCCTTCAGGATAATCTAACAAAATATGCAGATGCCATTCCAGTTCCCAATATAGATTCTATAGCAGTAGCTATAGCCCTTGCTGAACAGTTCATTAGCAGGTTTGGTTGTCCTCGTGTTACCCATACAGATCAGGTAACAAACTTTGTAAGAAGGATAATGAATAATTTTTGTAAAATTTTTAAAATACAGAAAATGACAGGAGTGGTCCTGTACCATGACCTTCTGAAACCAAGTGAGACAATTAATACCGATCGCTATCATCAACAACTGATCAAATTGAACGATGCATTAATCGAAAAGCGCCCAGATTGGGCTAGAAGACACGGAAAAGTCATTTTGCAACACGACAACGCCCCATCACACACAGCGAAAGCGATCAAAGACACAATTTCTGTACTTGGCTGGGAACTTTTGCCCCACACGCCGCACTGGCCAGACTTGGCCCCTTCCGATTACCACCTGTTTTCATCGATGGCTCACGCACTTTCCAAGGAACACTTCATCAATTACGAAGATGTTAAAAACGGGCTCGATGAAAATACAGCTCAGTCAGTATAATTTAAACGACGCCAAGTAATTAAATGCTTGTTTAATGAGAAATGAAGTTCAATCAAAGAACCAATTATTCAATCTGATTTAATTAATAGCTTTACAGATTCAGTAAACAGTTCTAAAGAGAAACTTATAATTTTTAATCGTTGGAACATTAAAATAACAAATTCAAAAATTTATTTTTCACGCTTGTATGTAATAATGATTCTGATTGTTTGACAGTTAGAATACAGTGATTGCTCAAGAAGGTAATAAATTATAATTTATTGATTTAAAGTGGGTACTGCTTATAGACAAGAAATTGGCACTCACAGCCGCAACTTATTTCTAAGCTGGGCTTAAGCATAAGCTTAAGATATCCGTTAGTTTTATAGTCGCCGAATAAGCAATGCCTTAAGCATCAGTTTAAGCATTTGCTTAGGAAAGTAAATTCACAATCGATTCTTAGGATCTCTATGAATTCATAGTCGAATAAGTCCGACTTATGTGTAGAAAAGGAGTTCTTGAACCATTTAGTTTGATTAATATAATCAATTATTAACATTTATTATTGCTTTTTTTGAGTCGTTGTTAATTGTAAGCATTTTTGATAATTAATTAGTACCAAAATTGAAACAATTTGTGTTCTACTGCAAACGATTGTTTCTCTTATGCAACCATTTAATTGTATTTTTATCATTATTTTAAATAATTTCTTTTTGTTAAATCATAGTAATTATATTATAATATACAGCTTTTGGTGCAGGTTTAAATTAAAATAGAATCACGTTATTAAATTACATGCTGTTTACGCATGATTAATTATTGAACGTTATTTATTCAAAAGAATTTAGATAATTTATAAATCACGACGTAATAGAATTTCCAACAATTTTCAGTATGCTTACAATTCTAACGATGAAAATCCACTACTTTAATAACATGGTGTATTATATTTATTAAATAATGATTTTTTGTCTGTGTAATGTTCATTGAAATAATTATCTACAATTGTTTAAAACATTTCATTATTACGATATTAATTAGGATGAATATTTAACTCTAATAATATTTGTGTTCGCTTAAGACATTTCAGGAACACTGATATTTCCATTAATAACAGTATTTCCTTAACGAACGCTCAATAAGATGAATGTTAGTTTTTTTTGTATATTTTCACCAATCCCAAACTTCCTCACTAATCTTTTCTTCCAGCAATTGTGGCCGCGCGCAAGGCAAGTCAGTGTTTGTACGAACATATTTTCAATGTATTGATTTTTTCAAGGGTGAACTGACCCTGAATAGAGTTGCGTTTGTACAACTAGGAATCACGAGAAAATAGAATCAGTGTTTGCTGCGTATTACAAAATATTTTCTCGAGCATGGCGGCTCTGATTTTTTTTTCTTTTTCCACCGTGAAAGTAGAGTCACTACAATTGTTCGCCGGAAATTATTCACGGTCGCGTTACTACTTTCTTCACGACTTCCGTCTTCTCCTTTAAGGCAACCTCCTACTTGACTGTCGGAAGATGTGTATATCTGCGAACGGAGAGTCGCATGATTTATGGTTCCTACGGTGCCCAATCATGTCGTAGGACGAATGGTCCGAATCGACACGGGTTACTGGTTGTATACGTGGTTGGCAAGCACGGTGACCATGGGTATGATTATACTCATGAGTACAGTAATGCTTCGAAATAAGCAAGTGGTCTCTGCTTCGAAATAAGCAAGTCGCTATCCCCTCTTTTTTGTTTGAAGTCGCCCGCAAAGTGAGAGGTACGAGAAACGAGTGAGAGGTCCATGAAAGCGCGAAGCCGATGTTTAGGGTAATAAATTTCACGCTTGACTGAGCAGTGACATCGGTTAGTAGAAGAAGGATGGAATATATATAATGCTTTCTCAGTCTGGTATATTTGCTTCGAAATAAAGCATAGTGCGAGAATGAGAGGGCATGTTATATTCTATCCTTGTCCAAAAAATAACATCGCTGCTCGGCCGATCACTTTATGATTTGCCGCTACCTCGGATCTCTCACTCATTTCTCGCGTTCTCTATCGTCCCGTTTCGAGAACAAAGTCAAGCCGAATAGCTACCTGCTTCGAAATAAGCAACTGTTCGGTCCCGAGCCACTTGCTTATTTCGAAGCATTACTGTAGTAACATTTTTATTGTGTTTCATTTCATTTAGTTCAGGCTAGGTCTTCTTGTACTTCGCGTTTAAATATTATTTCCATTTCACGTATTCCAATAGATACTTATGAAATACCATATATCTGCGAACAGTGAGTCGCATGCTTTATGGTTCCTACGGTGCCCAATCATGTCGTAGGACGAATGGTCCGAATCGACACGGGTTACTGGTTGTATACGTGGTTGGCAAGCACGGTGACCATGGGTATGATTATACTCATGAGTAGTAACATTTTTATTGTGTTTCATTTCATTTAGTTCAGGCTAGGTCTTCTTGTACTTCGCGTTTAAGGGGGTATTCTAGTCTAGAAATTCGAAATAATCGATTTTTTTTTCATATTTTCAAAGTTTAGATCTTTAAGAATAAGCCTGTAAAAGGATTTACGGAAATTCGAATTATTTTCGGAGTTATAGTTAATTTCACGCTTGTAGGCAAATA